CTCAGGAATTCTGGGAGTTGAAGTCCACCAGTCATAAAAGAGCCAAGGTGGCCTACCTCTGGCCTAGGCCTAGGACGTTTTATGACTCGTGGACTTCAACTCCCAGAATTCCTGAGCCAGCATGGGGGAACTATGGCCCCTTCATGACTTGCGGACTTCAACTCCCAGAATTCCTGAGCCAGCATGGCTCAGTTTGGAAACCTCTCCCTGTCCCCTCAGCATGGCTGGCTCAGGAATTCTGGGAGTTGAAGTCCACGAGTCATAAAAGAGCCAAGGTGGCCTACCCCTGCCCTATAACAACAATGTACTGTCACACTCTAATCATCCAGTGTTGTTCAACCTTGGCAACTGTTAAGATATGTCGATGTCAACTTCCAGAAATCAGAATTCTGGGAGTTGGAGTCCATGAAGTTGCCAAGGTTGAGTAACACTGCCCTAAGGTTGCTTCGGTTTGTCTGGGTCATTTTTTCTGATTTCTCCTGACATCTGGGCTGACTCTGCCAAGGGTCTCCTGAATATCTCTTGGCTGAACCTTCTCGATCAACACTTGTTCTCTGGGTCAAAAATGAAGCAGACGCATAAGAGGAGGAAGATCCGTCCGTCTCGTCTGATCCCCGAGGACTTGACAACAGTTTCTGTTGTGTCTGAAGCGAGCTTGGAAATCTGACTGAAAAACCCCAGAGATAACCCATGCTCTGTTCAATCTCCATGAAGACATGTCTACGGAGATTCTCAGTCAATCCAGGTCACGGTTGTCCCAAAGGTGCTTTTTAAGAGGCAACTGGACTTTCTTTTGTTTTTCTTTGAAGACCTTTCGCTTCCCAATCCATCAGCTCTGAATGGATGGTGGAGAATGGAAGGATTGATATTCCTTGCAGGTAGCTAGTCATTTGCCTTCTTTTTTGGAGAGTCGCTGAGGCCACTTGGAGGTTTTCCGTGTCCTCAGGGTCACCTGAGTGGCGCAAATGGGTGTGGGGCCTTCTTGGCTGCAGGATGTTCTCTGCCCTATTCCTGCAGTCTGCCATGTTTTCTGGAAATCCGTTCACACTCCCGCACCCTTCAAAGGGTGTTCATCCCAAAGTGCATAGCTAATTGTCTATGGAGGTTCTTACTCATCCAGATCGTGGTTGTCCCAAAGGTGTTTTTTCAGAAGGCAACTGGACTTTCTTGTTTTTCTTGGAAAACCGTCGCCAGGAATATAAACCTTTCCATTCCCCACCACCCAGTCAGAGCTGAAGAAGCTTCCTGGATGAGAAGCGAAAGATTTTCAAAGAAAAACAAGGAAGTCCAGTTCCCTATTGAAAAAAAGCAGTTATGGGGACTCCATGAAGAAAACAGCTCTCAAAAACTCAACTAGTGTTAATCCATCACACAGGTTCCCACCAGTTCAGAAAGCAGGAGGTGATGGTCTCCTCAGCATCCCATCTCTTACTCAACATATACCCCTTGAGTAATACTGAGTTAATTCATGTATCTCCAATCTTTCCTTCAGGAACTCAAGGTGGCGTTATGTGTCTTGCAATAAAGATCTTGAGAAGTAGGTTAGGCTGAGAAGAAAGGCATAGGCAGGGCCAAAGTCCACCAACAATCTTCCACAGCTAACAAAGAACTCAGATCTGGTACCCAGTCCAAGCTTTCCACCATTAAACCACCCCAGCTCTCTTGACTGTTTAGAACAGGGGTCTTCAAACTTGGCCCTTTGATGACTTGTGGGCTTCAACTCCCAGAATTCCTCAGCCAGGCACACTGGTTGAGGCATTCTGGGAGTTGTAGTCCACAAATCATAAAAGGGCCAAGTTTGAAGACCCCTAGTTTAAAAGAACCCAACGGATGGCCCTCAGAACTGAGTGATGCCAGTGAGAACTATTCTCAACATCTCTTTTGAGGAACACAAGCTGTTGGTGGAGGCTTGGTTTCAAAGTTCAGAATCAATAAACACAACTCAGCTACCGCATTTCCCTGAAAAATAAGCCCCAGCATGATTTTTCAGGATGCTCCTAATATAAGCCCCATCCCAAAAATAAGCCCCAATTAAGATCGTCAGCCAAATGGATGCATTTGGGACATCTGTTGCAACACACAACAGATGTATTGAATCATAAAACAATAATATTAACCTATAATTAAATATAAATAAACAGTACTATTAACGTTGTTTATTTGAATAAATGTAGATCGTTGTACGTGAAAATATAAGGCATCCCCTGAAAATAAGCCCTAACGTGTGTCTTTTGGAGCAAAAATTAATACAAGACCTGGGTAGCGTACCACACCAACATCTTTCCTATCTTGAAGAGAACTTAGGACAGTGTTTCTCAACCTTGACCATTTTAAGGCATGTGGACTTCAACTCCCAGAATTCCACAGCCAGCAATCTGGCTGTGGAATTCTGGGAGTTGAAGTCCACATGCCTTAAAATGGTCAAGGTTGAGAAACACTGACTAAGGAGATGCAATTAAAAGAAAACCCCAAAGCCCTTCACGGTTAGAAACCTCTTCCACAATCTTCTCATCTAGCTCGGCTTACATCTAAAAGCTATCCTTTTGTCTGAAAAACAGCCGTTATGGGACGGGCTTCCCAATGGCCTGGCTTGGGGCCTGCGGTGAAGATAAAGATGCAACGGATGGAACAAATGCTAATTTGGAGGGAGAGTGTCCTTGCAGAGGGACGCTCAACCCACAGGACTCATGATTTGCAAGAGCGTGAAGGAGCATCTTGGGGCATCGCAGATTGAGATCTAGCACTTGCTCACCCCCCCCCCCTCGGCTTTCTGCCGAATGACGCAGTCTGGGCTAACAGAAAGACACAAAACGAACTCTGCAGACTCTGCAGCTAATCCTGGTGTGCCCCGGGGGCAGAAAGGACGTGCACGTTGACCTTAAACTCTGATTGTCCTAGCATGTAAACCAGCTTTCCTTGGTGGACTAGCAGTGTAGACATCCAGTTCACAGCGGAAGGTCACAGGTCTGGAGGGAAAAATATTACTTTGTGGGTCAAGCTTCCTACTAAGCTGAAGACCAGGGGACTATTTTAAGCCCCTTTGCGAGATCAGCCCAGATTGAAAAAGCCTGGATTAAACCATGTTCTGTTTTCAAAAAGTGTGAAGAACCATGGCTGGGGATTGACTTATTTATTTTCTAATAGAAGCAAGCATTTGTTGCTCAGGGTTGAACTGTGCAGTCCAGCAACCTCCGAGCTTGGTTGCTGGCTTGCGACCACTTACGGTTTACAATCGTTCACTTAGTGACCGTCCAAATTTACAACAGCACTGAAAAATGTGACTTTACCGTGTTTCACACTTAAGACCGTCGCAGCATCCCCGTGGTCACGTGAACAAAATTGAGATGCTCGGCAACAGACTCCTATTTATGATTTTTGCTGTGCCCCAGGGTCACGTGATCCCCTTTCACGCTTTTCGGACAAACAATGTCAACGGTGAAGCCAGATTCACTTAACAACCGTGTTACTAAAGTAACAATTACCGTGATTCACTTAATAACTGTTGCAAGAAAGGTCATAACACGGGGCAAAATTCACTGTGCCCCTGTCTCGCTTAGCAAAAGAAGTTTTGGGCTCGGTTCTGCTCATACGTCGAGGACTACATGGTTCCCGAATAGGGGACATTATTTGTCTTGTGTCGTTGAGGTTACCTAGTGGTTATGACACCACTGAGCTCAGAGAGCACCAAGGACTCGACAAACCACATCCTAAGGCCGATGCAAAATTAAACCACGGTGAATGGGTGACCAAGGTCTGCCTAGTTTTACAGACGGTATAAAAAACTAGCTAGCTTCAGAAAAACTGAACCGTACTGACCTGACAATAAAAAATACACTGACTATAGTCTAATGCTGGATAAAAACACATAATAAAATCGATTATAAAAGCTTATTAAAAAGATCTAAAATGTTTATTTGTCTTTCTGGCGAATCCCCAGTGCTGCTGCGCAGAATCTAGCCACCTGTGCGGTGATCACCATCTGCTCGTCCTTAAGCAGCCACTGGAGATAAATACTTTCCGAACGACCAGGATACCTGTCAATTAGGGGAGGATATGGTTTTTCCAAATGGCTCTGTAGAAGGAACGTTGAAGGAGTAGGTGTCCAATGGTCTCCACCTCTCCCAAGACACAGCAGCGGAGTCTTTCAGCCAATGGTGTCTTTTTATACTTGCCGTACAGGACGGCTGATGGAAACGCATGGCATTGTCCAAGCGAAAATGCTTTCTGGTGGTTTACTGACTCCAACTGACTAAGATACCTGACAACCACGGTGAATGTAAACCTAGGTGCAGATGCTCCTCACTTCAACCTTTAGGGCAGACATGTCAAACACAAGGCCCGGGGGCCGGATGCGGCCCGCGAAGTGGTTTCATGTGGCCCGCGAAGCCATCCTGGAAACAGTGAGGGAACAGCCCCCGCTGCCTTGGCCCTGGCCCAGGCCGGCCAGGAGCCAATGTACAATTTTGTGGTGGCCATCTATGATGAAATGCATTCAGTCTTAGTTCCATAAGCCCCCCCTCCACATGGGCTGAGAGGAACAGTGAGGCTCCTCCAGTGGACCATGCCTTGGCCCTTGCCCCGGTCCCACCCCCTTCTGCCAGAGACCCTCAGATCTGTCCCACTCCTGCCCAGGCCCCCACAGGCACCCTTGACGAGAACGATGTAGAGCTGGCCATGCCCACCCAGTAGGCCACACCCACCCTGGCCACACATACCCCCCCCCCAGGGCAACCGCAATGCTGATGCAGCCCTCAATGAAATTGAGTTTGACACCCCTGATTTAGGGTGTGCTGGAAAATAGGGGTGAGTTGCTAGGAGTTGAGAAATGCTCTCAACTAAGTAATGGCTGCCTCAAACATCTGAAGGAGTTCCCCATCACGGCTGAAACCTTGCACTGCCTTTCATCCGAGACATGGATGCATCGAATAATCCCTGGGGAGGCTTCCCTACCCACGGGGCACCAAGCAGTGGGATTCCCGTCTAAGTAAGCTTCAACTCACCATCGTAAGTCAGGATGTGTCCTTTCTTCCCCTCGTAAATGACGTGTCCCTTGGGCAAAGCCTCCTCTCTTCCTTTCTCCGCTCTGCTGGGGCTGTCTTCTCCAATTACCTTGGTGATGGTTCCTTTGTACAGCACTTCAGCTGGGGTGCCCTTGGAAAGAGACCAAGAGCATTATTGAACCGCGTCACGAGCAATTAAGGCAGAAAAGAAGCAAAGCAGAATTGCACGCGGGCGTAACGCAGGCCCAGGCAGACCAGCACTGTACTGCAAGAAACAGACCCCAACAAAGGAGTGCAATCTTGAGCAAATATCAGCTGGGAACTCTGCTTCCTGTCAGAAGACTACAGTCGACTGATCAGAACCACCAGGACGGTGAGATCAGTTTTGGGGTGGACGTTATGTTTTGTTTTAACGTTAGGAGGTCACAGGAAGAGCAGACAATGACAGTATCGGATTCTGCAGAACTAGGAGCTAGGCAAGGACCTAGAGAGGGGAGACCTGTGAAGTAAGAGGGTGAAGCTGAAATGAAGGCAGGTGTATTCAGACACGTGTCCAAACACATCCTGCATCTCCCTTTCAACGCCCTCAGTTCTCTTCCGGCATCGCCGTTTATTCCTCTCTATAAACGTTCCAGCTAGAACAGGGGTTCTCAACCTTTTTAATGCCGCGACCCCCAACCGGTCGTAAGTCGAGGACTACTCAACCGGTCGTAAGTCGAGGACTACTCAACTGGTACAGCACCGTTTGCAGAATGGGACTTTTGGCGGGCTCAGCAGGGCAGAGACAGCCTGGACAATTCCTATTGGCTTTGGAAAGCCAATAGAATTAGACTCTATTCAAGAGAGTCTCTTCTATTGGCTTTCAAAAGCCAATAGAATAAAAGGGAGTAGCACAGCTAAGGAAAAGGGGGGAAAAAATGGCGGACCGCATTGTTTGGCGACCCCCGTGAAATGGTCGTTCGACCCCAAATGGGGTCCCGACCCACAGGTTGAGAACCACTGAGCTAGAACAAGATTGTTTTCCTTTCCTTTAGCCCTTGTGGGATGACACCTGGAAATTTCTCTGCTTTAAAACAGGTTCTCCGTTGTTTGAAGGATCAGCTTGAGTCTACCTCTCGGAAGCTCAAGGAACATCTAGTCACAGAAAGGACTTCTTCTGTCTTAAGATCTCTGCCATACCCAAACCCTTAGCCAACCTTGGGTGCCAAAATTCATTCGCTAAGAATCAGAGGGGGATAAATGATACTCTGTTTTGCAGGGGATCAAATCTGGATTCTTTTGCACGCCAAGCACACGCCTTGCCACCGAGCAACATTTCACTTTCCCCAAATGACTGGGTGGGGCCCCTAAGCTTTGGGCTGCATTCATCTGCAGGACCAGACTTGACAAACACATGACAAGCTGGTTGGTGGCGCCGCCGCCAGAGATAAGGAGTAATATGCTTAAAGATAAGAGAGCCTGCGTCTAAATGTTCACAAGTGTGCTCAGCCCAGTACCTAACCTATCTTGTGGCTGACTCACGCTCAGGAATACTGAAAAAGATGTTGCTTTTTGCAATCCTAGCACCTATTTAGGATGAAAGCTCTCATTGGTTGACTTCTGGCAATTGATGCCCTAGGGTCAGGGCCCCCCAATCCCCGGTCCGTGGACCGGTACCGGTCCATGGCATGCCAGCAACTGGGACACACAGACGAGCAAAGCCCCATCCGCAGGATGCAGGCAACACACAAAACCACGCACTCTCCGGTCCACGGAAAAACCTCTCTCCACGGAACCGGTCCCTGGTGCCCAAAAGGTTGGGGCCTTCTGCCCTAGGTCAGTGGCTCTCAACCTGTGGTCTGTGGACCACTGGGTGGCCGTGAGGTTATCACAAGGGGTCTGCAAATATTTGATGCGATCTAGTGCTTTAAATCTTGAGTTAGGTCTTGGTGGGTGCTTCATTCCTGGAGGTTTTTAAGAAGAGACTGGACAGCCATTTGTTTGAAATCATATAGGGTCTCCTGCTTGAGCAGGGGGCTGGACTAGAAGACCTCCAAGGTCCCTTCCAGCTCTATTCTAATTGATTGATTGGTCTGTGGCCACAAAAGGTATTTAAAGAGGTGAAGACTGAGAGGCCCTAGGTCAGGGGTAGGCAACCTTGGCCCCCTCATGACTCGTGGACTTCAACTCCCAGAATTCCTGAGCCAGCATGAGGGAAACTTTGGCCCCCTCATGACTCGTGGACTTCAACTCCCAGAATTCCTGAGCCAGCATGGGGGAATTATGGCCCCTTCATGACTCGTGGACTTCAACTCCCAGAATTCCTGAGCCAGCATGGCTCAGCTTGGAAACCCCTCCCTGTCCCCTCAGCATGGCTGGCTCAGGAATTCTGGGAGTTGAAGTCCACGAGTCATAAAAGAGCCAAGGTTGCCTACCCCTGGTATAGGGTCTCCTGCTTGAGGGGGGCTGGACTAGAAGACCTCCAAAGTCCCTTCCAGCTCTATTCTGATTGACTGATTGGTCTGTGGCCACAAAAGGTATTTAAAGAGATCCATGGTGAAGATTGAGAAGCACTGCCCTAGGTGAACCATGCCATCAATATCACTCTAGAATTTAAATACATTCAGAGTAGGTGGAAATTATGGCTGTGTCTTCACTATGTCCGCACATGTTCTGTAGCAGCCAAGGTGGAGAAATTTAATCACCAGATCCTACTATAAATCTCTTAAGGGCAGTGACTGAACTACTAGGGCAGTGTTTCTCAACCTTGACAATTTTAAGGCATGTGGACTTCAACTCCCAGAATTCCACAGCCAGCAATGCTGGCTGTGGAATTCTGGGAGTTGAAGTCCACATGCCTTAAAATTGTCAAGGTTGAGAAACACTGTACTAGGGCATAGATCTGGGGTGTTAGTAAGGTAATTGCTTGGATGTTCTTAGGAGCAACAGAGGTCCAGAGACGGTGGACAGAACCCAATCCAGCCCGAGATTAAGACCAGGCAGTCCTCATTTAATGGCAGCCTCCCTTAGCAACCACTCACAGTTACAACATTAATAAAGTAACTCTACAATCAATCGTTGCATTTACGTTTCCAGGTCCGTAAAGAGAAGGAAAGCAGAAGCAAGATCGTAATCACGGTTGTGGTTTTCTTTAGCAATTGCTTCACTTAATGACTGAGTTACCAGTCTCAACTGTGGTCACCAAAATGAGGACGTCCTACACAAATTCAAAGTGCAATAAAATTCCAGAATCTTGGGATCCAACAGACCAGCTCTGAGTCTTCCCGCAACATAAACCAGAGACACCGCATTACAAATATGGCACTTCCAGACGTCTCCATCTCAACGCCTGAATTCAAGGGCTTGGCGTTAAGACACAAAACACAGAGCTGGCCCAGGATCAGCTTCGGCACACATGCTCACAGGAGAACTGGAAAGAGAACATAATCAGATGGCTTTAGGGAAGGAACCTCTGGAACATCTGTCTTCTGCAGCCCGGATCTGCAAACGGGTACTGCTGCAACACAACAGATCATGAACGGCCTTAAGGCTTTGCAAATGAGACCGTTGGTAATTACCATCAACCAACCCAGCTAGATCACCATGGGTGGCACTATCATATGCATAAATTTCAGGCAAGTCCATACTCCCCCAAAGCCTGCAAATAAAAGCTTCCTCTAACGAACCATGTGAGCTTAAATGGGCTCCAGAAGATGGTAGAGGACAGGAAGGCCTGGAGGAACGCTGTCCATGGGGTCGCAATGGGTCGGACACGACTTCGCAACTAACAACAACAATGAACCAGCCCAAGGGAGGGAATAAAATAGAGCTGGAAGGGACCTTGGAGGTCTTCTAGTCCAGCCTACTGCTCAAGTAGGAAAACCTGTACCATCTCAGACAAGTGACTGTCTAGTCCATTGCTGGCTGTGGAGTTCTGGGAGTTGAAGTCCACATGCCTTAAAATTGTCAAGGTTGAGAAACACTGGTCTAGTCTCTTCTTAAAAACCTCCAGTGATGGAGCGGCCACGATTTCTGGAGGCAAAACCGTTCCACTGGTTGATTGTCCTCACTGTCAGGAAGTTTCTCCTTAATTCCAGGTTGCTTCTCTCTTTGGTCAGTTTCAACCATTGTTTCTCGTCCTTCCTTCTGGTGCTCTGGGAAACAACCTGACCCCCTCTGCCTTGTGGCAGCCCCTCAGATACTGGAACACTGCTATCATGTCTCCCCTGTTTCTTCTTTTCAGCTTTGCTGACCCAGGAATTCTGGGAGTTGAAGTCCATGAGTCATAAAAGAGCCGAGGTTGCCTACCCCTGTCATAGACCCTTCCCAAGGCCCCTGCTAAATCATGGGTCTTGATTTTGGCCAGGAAGGAAACCAACACAAATGACGTACAGGTAATCCTCAACTTGCAACCCTATACTCAGCGGCTGTTCAAAGTTACAACGGCGCTGAAAACAGTAACTTGTGAGTGGTCCTCACACTTACAACCGTCACAGCATTCCCCCACCCCCATTCCCACGATCAAATTTCAATTTCAAGTGTTTACAATGGTTGCACACAATCGCCATTTGCGACCTTCCCAGCCAGCTTCCGTCAAGCAAAGTCAATGGGGGGGAACTGGATCCATTTAACGACCGTGTGGCCACTTAAGAACTACTGTGATTTGCTTAGCGTGGCAAAAAGGTGGTCAAATTGGCCGCCACCCACTTAACCACCAGCTTACTTAAGCCAGGGCTTTTCAACCAGTGGTACGGGTACCACCTGTGGTACATTGGCACCTGGCAGGTGGTACGTGACCATACCAGAAAAGTGGTAGCAGGGGAGGGGAATGAGCTGAACCGGTGGCAGCACCGCACAAGCCTGAGCGAGAGACGGCTGGAGCTGCAGGGCTGTCAGGACTCAGCGGAAGCGCCAGGATCAGCGCTTCTTCATGACTGTCAGGGCTCAGTGGAAGCACCAGGATCAGCGCCAGGCTCCAGCTGGAGCTCGGCGCTGATCCTGGCGCTTCTGCTGAGCCCAGAAGAAGCGCCGGTCAGCTGGAATGTTGCAGCATCTCCAGGGTCTTGTAATTTACATTCAGATGCTTGGCAACTGATTCATATTTATGACGGTGACAGTGTCCCAAGGTCATGTGAAGTGACCAAAACCTGCCGCAACCCTGCAGACGGGGGGAATAAAAACCAAACACCCACCCCACCCCCACTGCCAATCCTGAACAGAAATCCTCACAACAATGAAAACCTTGGACAGGAGGAAGAGCACAGCCGGGCGGGCAGGCAGGCGTCTTGCTCGGCTGTGGCTTGGAGGGCACTTTTTTCAGTGCCATTGTAACTTCAAACAGTCACTAAGCAAACTGTTGTAAGTCGAGGACTACCTGTACTTCATCACTTTTTTCCTTTTTTTTTTTTTTTTTGGGTCATCAAGTTTGTGGCCCCTTGCTAGGCGACTGGTGGTACTCGGATGTTGCCATATCCCAAAAGTGGTACAGTGGGTGAAAAGGTTGAAAAGCCCTGACTTAAGCAACCAAAATGGTAGCTGTGAAAACAAGAACCCGCTGCAATTTGTGTCTGCCACGGAGAATTTGCACGGCCACGCAAATGATGTGACTGAAGGCAAAAGATGGATTTGGGATCCTGACACAAACCCGCCAGAAGGCAGATAAAATCCCCGAGAAGGAAGGGTTAATTTTTTTAAAAAAAGGCCCCGACTGGATTATTTTGGATGCTGACAGATAGCCTGCTATTTTGCAGGGATGTCTAAAGAAGTTCCAGATAATTTCTGAATTATCTTATTATTCTGCATGGTAAGACAGGAAACCAGCCCTACTCCTATCTGATGCTACTGAAGCCGGAAAGCGATGCTCATCAGCATTAATTAAAGATTCTGAGATGACACTTACTGGATCCTCCCCACCGCATTTTTTTTTCCAGGGATAGCAGAGTATCCTTGCAGAATCCTGCCCCTTCTGCTAGTTTAATTCTTCAGTCTTTGGCGATTTATTTATTAATTCAATTTATACGGTCGCCCGTCTCAGGGTGCGATGCTGGACAAGTGTACGCCAATCGAACAAAACAACGATAACAAAGTCATTAAGAGCTCTAATTAGAAAACAACTGCATGGGAAACCAGATCTTAAAAACAAGGAAATAACATTTCCAACTCAAACATTTGAAACACAGCAAGAGGTGACGCGAGGATAAACGTCTTCAAGAACCGGCAAACGTTAATATTTCCGTGGTAGCAAAGAATTTTTGACTGCCATCCCTTGAGCTGAAAACATTGTAATTTCCCTCCCTCCACAAGCTAGCTGTTTAAATGGAATCACAAACTACCCTAACGAAGAGGACTGGATTTCAGCAATGCAAGGTTACCAGCCTTCAAAAGCGTCTCATGGCAGCTGAACTGAGGTTTATTTTTCCAAGGAAATGAGCTGAGAACTCCAGCGTTCTCAAGAACGTATCTTTAAAGATCTGACTGTCAGCCAGGGAGGAGGAGGAGGAGAAAAAAAACAAAAACCCCAAAGAAAAAAAGAAAGAATTCTCTCTGCTCCCTTTCCAGAGAAAGCAATAATTGGAGAGTACAAAGCCATCACCCAGTTGGCAAGCCTTCTGTCTCTAGAGCTGATGGATGGGAACCATGAATTCTTTGCAAGCTGTGTTTGTGTGTGTTCCCAGACGCATGCGTTGTCTAGGGATGTGCACAGCAAGGAAAAGTGTCTGGAAAGAGCTCTAGGGATCTCAAAGCACAGTTCGTGTTCCTTAAGGTAAGAGCTACGACTAGTCTTTTCTACCCATTGAAGACCACATTCTGAACCTTGGTTGAGTTCCTCTTGGGCCATTCCTTGTCAATATGGTTGGCTTCAAGACCAGCCAGAGGTCTTTAGCATGTATTAGCCAACCCTAGTCTTGTTCATCATCTAGGATAACATGGTTGGCTTCAAGACCAGCCAGAGGTCTGTAGCAAATATTAGCCAACCTTGGTCTTCTTCATCATCTAGGATAACATGGTTGGCTTCAAGAGCAGCCAAAAGTCTTTAACAGGTTATAACCATCCCAGATATTGTTCATCATCTAGGACAATATGGTTGGCTTCAAGACCAGCCAGAGGTCTTTAGCACGTATTAGCCAACCTTGGTCTTCTTCATCATCTAGGATAACATGGTTGGCTTCAAGACCAGCCAGAGATCTTTAGCACGTAATGGCCAACCCTGGTCTTGTTCATCATCTAGGACAATATGGTTGGCTTCAAGACCAGCCAGAGGTCTTTAGCATGTATTAGCCAACCGAGGTCTTGTTCATCATCTAGCACAATATGGTTGGCTTCAAGACTAGGCAAAGGTCTTTAACAGATAATAACCATCCCAGGTCTTGTTCATCATCTAGAACAATATGGTTGGCTTCAAGACCGTCCAAAGGTCTTTAGCAGGTAATAACCATCCTAAGTCTTCTTCATTTTTTTGTGCCCTCATCAATCTTTGGCAACACCTTTCAGAACATTCTCCACCATAGGTTCTTCTCATCACCAAGACACTTCTAATCCACTTCTGACGCGCTGATAGAAAAGCCCCCCAAAGAGAAGACTTACATGTGTGATGGAACCCCGATATGTGATAGTAGACTCAGAGGGTGGCCTCGTGCTGGGAATCCCTTTAATGATGCTCACTCCTGGCAAGGAGGTACCTGCAGGATACAACAAACAAGAAGAGGTGATAGTTTCAAAAATCATTTGGTGGCTGTCAACAACCTGCTTATTCCAGGACATTTGGGACAGTAAAGGAAGCCTCAAACAGGTTTATGGGACAATGAGCCCAGCACTGATTCTCCAGGTTGGGGAGCTTCTTCCAATGACTTAGACGAGGGACCTTCAAACTTGGCCCTTTTATGACTTATGGACTGCAACACCCAGAATTCTTCAGCCAGGCACGCTGTCTGAGGAATTCTGGGAGTTGAAGTCCACAAATCATAAAAGGGCCAAGTTTGAAGACCCCTGACTTAGACAAAAGGACTCTCCCATCACCTGCGACCTTCCTAAAAGCAGAGAGTTATGTCAATTATGAGTTCCATCACTAAAGGTTCTTGCCTGTGAAGTTTTGGGAGGTCCAGTGAGGCTTATAAACACAAACTACACCCAACCTTCACAAGTCTTTTTGGTTTGAAGAGGCTAAAGAGTGCAGAAGGCGACTGGTGTACCCCAGAAGTTCTAGACCAGCGGTTCTCAGCCTGTGGGTCGGGACCTCATTTGTGGTCGAACGACCATTTCACGGGGGTCGCCAAACAACGCAGTCTGCCATTTTTTCCCCCTTTTCCTTAGTTGTGCTACTCCCTTTTATTCTATTGGCTTTTGAAAGCCAATAGAATAGACTCTCTTGAATAGAGTCTAATTCTATTGGCTTTCAAAAGCCAATAGGAATTGTCCAGGCTGTCTCTGCCCTGCTGAGCCCGCCAAAAGTCCCATTCTGCAAACAGTGCTGCAAGTTGTCTGCAGCGAAGGCGAGCTGTCTGGAAGTTTCCACCCCTCCCTGCTGAGCAACTACTAAAAATGTAAGTAAAAGAGGGCCGGGGGTGGGAGGTGGGAGGCCGGCGGGCGCAGGGAGGGTTGCTGGTGCGCGTGGGGCCCGACGGGTGCCTTACCTCCCTTGGGCTGGGCCAGCTGGTGGCCCAGCCGGTGGTCGGCCTGCGCTGTCTCTGCCGCTTGCCAGCTACGCCTCGGCCGGTGCAGGGGGCGGCACCACGCATGCGCGGCGCTCCCGGGCAGGGAAAGTCCTCAACTTACGACCGGTTGGGGAGTCGCGACATTAAAAAGGTTGAGAACCACTGTTCTAGACTATGCCTTCAAAGATATCTCTACAGAGCTTAGCTAGAGATTATGTCAGAAGAGAACCTTCTTACCTCGAAGAACGGAGCTTTCCTGTGAAGTCTGCACAACCAAGGTTTCAGCTTGACCAGCTTGGCATCTAGGAGAAAGCTGCTCTTGTTTCACTGCAGAAAATGACACTGGAAAACAAGAACATTACCACTTTTATTTTACTGTACCAGGAGCAGATGAAATTGCTCGGATGATCGGCTGGTTTTCAGCATGGCTACTGGTCCAACTGGGTCCTCCCCTTCTTTGGCCAGCGGTGACTCTGAGAACCAGGCCAGAATGAAGATCAGCTTACCCAACGTCTTGGGATCCATCGTCAGAGGCACAGTGATGGAACCAATGGAGACTTTTGCATGCTCTGGACTGAATGGACCATGGAGCTGTAGAGGTATCCCCTGAAAGATCCATCAAAGAGCATTAGTTATGGGGGGGATGCCAACAACCAAAGTATGGTAGCAACCACACTCTTGAGCACGTTTCCTCGTTCCTTTTGATCTACTGGCCGCGGGACGGTCTCAGAAGGTTGGCTTATGCATTTACCTGGGAGATACAGCCAGGTGTTCTTTCAAGAACAGAGGGATGCTTGTTAGAGATCAGAGGAGGAGGATTGGAGATGGCTGACAACCTTGGCGGGCCAGCGCGAGAACTTTCATGAGCGTTCAAGGAGACAGGATGAGCTGCTGTAGAGAGAAAGAGGGAGAGATTGAGAGCTTAAAACAACGTGAGTCATATCTGAACTCGGTTCTTCTAAGAAAGATCTGCCTACTTCATGGTGAGAAACTTGGATTTGGAACTCACACAATAACTCATGACTGTCTGTAAACCTTGTGTCGCCCTGGGCCAAAAAACTAACGACTCTCATGGGATTGCTTTTACAGTCCTAATTCTGCTGTTTTCCGCTTCTGTCCTGGATCTGGAATTGGGCAACGCTTCAACCCAGTCTCCAAATTACAATCCATTGGGCATTGCCCACGCTGGACAGTCAAACCAACATCCTAAGCGCCGAGGGCTGGACTCACCAGAGGGGTTATACTGAAATGTGTGAGACTCCGCGTGTGGAGAGGTTCGGATAATGTCCCTTGATGAGCCTTGGTAAGGAAGGACCGGTGGCCAACAGGTTGTAGTGGCAGATTCTCCACCTTGCTTCTGTCCATCTGGAAGGGGGGTGAAAAGCACTGGTTTTTCTACCAGGGGAGAGAATGGCTAAATTAGGAAACTTGCATTTTTCAATGGATGGATGGATGGAGATAAGATGGGATTGAAGGATGGATGGATGGATATGGGTGGGATGGGATGGAAAAGAAGAATGGAAGGATAGATAGATAGATAGATAGATAGATAGATAGATAGATAGATAGATAGATAGATAGATAGATAGATAGATAGATAGATAGACAGACAGATAAGATAGACAGACAGACAGACAACCTTTATTGTCATTTTTACTGTGGCCACAATGGCACACATTAAAAATGAAATTTAGTTCCTTGCTCTCAAAGTGTACACCTACATAACATACATTTAAGCATACTATATACAATATATGTATAGACCTATAGCCTTATATATAAGTAACATATAAATATTAATCACTGTTCATCTTGAATACATAATGGAAGGAAGAAGCTTTAGAGTTCACAAGGTTAATTAATACTGTATGGATGGATGCATGTATGGAAGAATAGACAGATGCATGGGATGGAAGAATGGATGGGGTGATATATAAGAATGAATGGATGGGATGAGATGGGATGGGATAGGGTGGAACAGACAGATAGATACCGTAGCTAGCTAGAGAGAGAGATGATTGGGGGAAGGGAGGGAGATAGATAGAAATGATAGATATTAAAGGTAATGATAGAAAGGGATGATAGATAGATAGATAGATAGATAGATAGATAGATAGATAGATAGATAGATAGATAGATAGATAGATACAGATGGATGATAGATAGACAGACAGACAGACAGACAGACAGACAGACAGACAGATCTATCAGGGTTCTTCAGACTTGGCCCTTTTATGACTTGTGGACTTCAACTCCCAGAATTCCTCAGCCAGCATGCCTGGCTGAGAAATTCTGGGAGTTGAAATCATAAAAGGGCCAAGTTTGAAGAACCCTGAGATAGATAGATAGATAGATAGATAGATAGATAGATAGATAGATAGATAGATAGATAGATAGATAGAGACAGAGAGAGAGAGAGAGAGAGAGAGAGAGAGAGAGAGAGAGAGAGAGAGAGAGAGAGACAGAGACAGAGACAGAAGAGACAGACGGAGAGAGAGAGAGACAAACAGACAGATCTATCTTTGAAGGAGTCTTGACTCCTGGGAATCCCATGGACGTATCCATGCAGTCTTCTTGGCAACCTTTCCAGAACTAGTTTCCCAGTACTACTTTCCGAGGGCTGAGAGAGAGGAAATGGCTTTTCACCCAGCTGGCTTCGTGCCCAAGGGCAGCTGTGGAAACTCACCGTCTCCTCGCTTCCAGTCCACACCTTCTTTACCACCACACCACAGTGGAGACGCAAAACATCCCGACTGAAAGAACCCCACGAGAAAGTGAGGCCGAGAAGAAGGAGCCCCAAACATACATCTGCGCCTGGCCAAGCACCTCCTTCTGTTCTAGGAAGGCTGCCTTGTGTTTGGGAGGGAGGACCCTCAACTGCGTTCACCTTTAGCCTTCATGATTTACAGCCTGAACTTGGCTTTTCTGCTGCTGCTGCTTCCCAAGGACAGCAGGAGAGAAGACAGGTTGATAAAGCGCAGAGCGTAGAGGCAGACATTTGCAGGGAAAAAAAACCTCTAGCGGGGACTCGTTTTTTCTGGATAATTCCTCCCCTGCCCTGCTCTAGAAAACAAGAGAGCCTCCATGTCTGCTGCAGAGATGGTTAAGGCCAGGCCCAGGCAGAGCTATGGAAATGGGGGCCTCGTTGCAGGAAGAAAGTCCTTCCAGCCCCAACCAGGGAAAACCCTGCTCTGAAGCTTCAACCGAGGTTGATTTCATTCCGGTTCTCCTCTCCCCCTTCCCTTCCCACGCACATTAAAAAAAAGAGCCATAACTCAAAGCCCTTCTGGATACGCTCTCACACTTATCCCCAGAAAGAAGGTTAACACTGCCGTTTATCAAAGCCCTGGAACTGGAGCAAGGGAGACGTCGGTTTATGCGATCTGTCATCCAAATGAATTTCCTTGGCCAGGCAGCCCTGCTCCGAAGGCCAAGTGGAAACGGGGTGGCTAAATCAATAGGAAGTGCACAGCTTGCGCAGGAGCTACATGCCCCAAAGAGAAGCAAGGCCAACTGTCCCAGATCTGCCCACTCCTTGTTATGAGAGGAGGAGGAGGAGGAGGAAGAAGAAGAGAAGGAGGGGGAGGAAACATACACCAGCGTACAGTTCCCGAACCATCTTCCAAGTCTGAAAGTACAAATCTCATACTCTCTTTTTACTGCCTGATAAGCTAAGAGTTCCTTCCTTCCTTCCTTCCTTTCCTTCCTTCTTCCCCTCTCCTTTCCCTTCTCCCCTATCTCTTTACTTTCTTCCTTTTTCACCCTTCTTTGTTCTAACTTCTTTCCTCTCTCCCTCCACTAATTTTCCTTCCTTCCTTCCTTCCTTCCTTCCTTCCTTCCTTCCTTCCTTCCTTCCTTCCTTCTTCCCCTCTCCTTTCCCTTCTCCCCTATCTCTTTACTTTCTTCCTTTTTCACCCTTCTTTGTTCTAACTTCTTTCCTCTCTCCCTCCACTAATTTTCCTTCTTTCCTTCCTTCCTTCCTTCCTTCCTTCCTTCCTTCCTTCCTTCCTTCCTTCCTTCCTCATCTCTTTGCTTTCTTCCTTTCACCCTTCCTTCTTTGTTCTAACTTCTTTCTTCTCCCTCCACTAATTTTCCTTCCTTCCTTCCTTCTTCCTCTCCCTTTCCCTTCTTCCCCTATCTCTTTACTTTCTTCCTTTTTCATCCTTCTTTGTTCTAAATTCTTTCCTCTCTCCCTCCACTAATTTTCCTTCCTTTCTTTTCCTTCCTTCCCCATCTCTTTACTTTCTTCCTTTTTCACCCTTCCTTCTTTGTTCTAACTTCTTTCCTCTCCACTAATTTTCCTTCCTTCCTTCCTTCCTTCCTTCCTTCCTTCCTTCCTTCCTTCCTTCCTTCCTTCCTCCCTCCCTCCCTCCCTCCCTCCCTCCCTCTGCAACATCCCCTTCAACCCCCAAGCGCTCTCACCATCTTTGTCCACCTCAACCGGGCTCTGATGCGGAGCTTCGCGAGGGCTGCTGCTGCCGGGGCTGCTGCACAGCTGGGGCTCCTTCTCTGATGGGGGGGGAGGCTTGGCCTCCTCCTGGGCCCCCTCCTGGGCCAGGGCGATCTGCTGCTGGTAGAGGCCCAAGGTATGGGCAGGCCCCGAGGGTTTCGGAGCCCCGCTCTGCAATGCTGCCTCCAGGGCGCCTTCGGAAATCTGTGGGGAAAGGAGAGCCTGGCTTAAGTCCTTTGAGATGGGCACCCCAACCGCCCAGGTTGGGTTTGTGCTAGTTTGAGTCAGTCAGTTGGGCTAGTTTCTTCAAAACTCAAAGCTGCTGTAGGTGACCTTATAGATTGAGGGGGAGGGAGGGAAGGAAGGAAGGAAGGAAGGAAGGGAGGGAGGGAGGGAGGAAGGAAGAAAAAAGAGAGAAGGAAGGAAGGAAGGAGGGGAAGGGAGGGAGGGAGGGAGGAAGGATGAGAGAGAAATGGAAGGAAGAAAAAAGAGAGAAGGAAGGAAGGGAGGGAGGGAGGGAAAGGAAAGAAGGAAGGAAGGAGGGAGGGAATAAGAGAGAAATGGAAGGAAGAAGAGAGAGAGAAGGAAGGAAGGGAGGGAGGATGAGAGAGAAATAGAAGGAAGAAAAAGAGAGAAGAGAAGAAAGGAAAGAGATTCAAGAAGGAAAGGGAGGATGAGAGGGAAGGAAGGGAGGGAGGAAGGGAGAGAAATGGAAGGAAGAAAAAAGAGAGAAGAAAAGAGAAGAAAGGAAAGAGAGAGGGAAAAAGGAAAGGGAGGATGAGAGGGAAGGAAGGGGAAAATAAGGAAGGAAGGAAGGAAGGAAGGAAGGAAGGAAGGAAGGAAGGAAGGAAGGAAGGAAGGAAGGAAGGAAGGAGAGGGGAGGGAGGGAGGGAGGGAGGGAGGGAGAGGGGAGAGAGGGAGGAAGGATGAGAGAGAAATGGAAGGAAGAAAAAAGAGAGAAGGAAAAAGAAAGGAAAGAGAGGAAGGGAGGAAGGAAAGGAAGGAAGAGAGGGAAGGAAGGGGAAAATAAGGAAGGAAGGAAGGAAGGAAGGAAGGAAGGAAGGAAGGAAGGAAGGAAGGAAGGAAGGAAGGAAGGAAGGAAGGAAGGAAAGAGAGGGGAGGGAGGGAGGGAGGGAGAGGGGAGGGAGGGAGGAAGGAAGGATGAGAGAGAAATGGAAGGAAGAAAAGAAGGAAAAAGAAAGGAAAGAGAGGAAGGGAGGAAGGAAAGGAAGGAAGAGAGGGAAGGAAGGGGAAAAGAAGGAAGGGGAAAAGAAGGGAGGGGGGGAGGGGGAGAGGGAGACTCACAATGGGAGGGATGGCAGCTGCCCTCTGCTTCAGCTGCTTCAGGTCCAGCGGCTTCTGAGGTGAGGAGGTGAGACGGGCATCGTTGGGGGCACCAAGGAGACTTAAGCGGGCAGCCGGCAACCTGCAGAGAGACGCAACAACGCTGCTTGAGAACCACTTTCCAAGCACTGTTTGGCCCAGAAATCCAGCCTGATTCTCTTGGACAACTGCAGAGACTGACTGAACCACCACGGGGAAAAAAGCTGTGAAATCCTGTGTGACCCACTTAACAACCCCCTGGCTTAGCCATGGAAATTCTGGTCCCAATTATGATCTTGAGGACCACACCTGTGATTCTGATCTTGCTGAAAGTCAAACATGAGATGGATCTCTTCAAGTCCTTAGACAACTCTCTTGAGGGTTCTACCTGGTTTCACTTTTGGCTAAAAGATGAGGATCCCAACCATCTTCTGGACCACTGGAGACCCCTTTGGGGTCTTTGGGACTGTCCCCACCAGAACAAAAATGGATGGGACCTGGCTGATGATCTCGTGTTGGCTTATCTCCTTGATGCGGGTGTCAGAAGATAAAAATCACCAACTCTTAGGCTTTGGAGATTAATAAGAGAAGATCATGAATCACGATGGAATGTCTTCTGGACCATTGGAGAACCCATCAGAAGACTTGGGGCCTATGGGACTGTTCCCACCGGAACAAAGATTGATGAGATCTGGCTGATGACCTCAGGTTGGCTTATCTCCTTGATGTGGGTGTCAGAAGATAAAAGCACCAACTCTTGGAGATTAATAACAGAAGATCATAAACCACGTTGAAATGTCTTCTGGACCATCGGAGACCCCATCAGAAGACTTGGGGTCTATGGGACTGTTCCCACTAGAACAAAGATTGATGAGACCTGGCTGATGACCTCAGGTTGGCTTATCTCCTTGATGTGGGTGTCAGAAGATAAAAGCACCAACTCTTGGAGGTTAACAAGATAAGATCATGAATCACGTTGGAATGTCTTCTGGAACATCGGAGACCCCATCAGAAGACTTTAGGGTCTTTGGAACTGCTTCCACCAGAACAAAGATTGATGAGACCTGGCTGATGACCTCGGTTGACTTATCTCCTTTGATGTGGGTGTCAAAAGATAAAAGCACCAACTCTTAAGCTTTGGAGATTTATAAAAGAAGATCATGAACCACGTTGGAACAGTCGGGGTCCTGTAACCAGCTGAAAGAGGAACAAATTGAAGCATCCCAGTGATCTCCCAGGGTTTTAGCCCACCAGGAAAACGGGATTAGATTTCTGCTTGACATTCTCCAACTTATTTTTTTTTTACCCTCTGAACATCACTGGCTGTTCCCCAGCCATAAACTGACAACAGTTAATGCATGACTGTACAGGCCTCCGTATTCATTTATATTTAACGTGACCCATGCTTGAACTTTTCATTCCTGTGGCTGTTGTGTGTGTGTGTGTTTGTGTTTGTGTGTGTGTGTGTGTGTGTGTGTATATATATATATATATTTAAAATCAAACAAATAAACGTGAGCACCAGGGAGTATTTAAAAAAAAATTAGTAAAATTTAATACAACACCAATAAAATCACTGACGAAAGCTAGGCGTTTTATTAGTTATTAATTTTTATGGTGATTTTATTGGTATTGTATTAAATTTTACTAAATTTTACTAAAAAAATTTTAAATACTCCCTGGTGCTCACGTTTATTTGTTTGATTTTAAATATGGATATACCCAGGGATCATATTTTTGATAATTATCTTTAGAGACCTTTTACTTCCATTCAGCTTGCAAGTAGCCAAGAGGAACCGACAAAACAGCTGGAAGGTTGTGATGCCGTGGCATACACACACACACACGCGCGCGCGCGCGCGCATTGGGGCCAGGATGTTAATGGAAGCTGGCCTGGACGGATGGGATCTGTTGTTCATGTCGTTGATTTTACAGGCAGTCTTCAGCTTACAACCAAAACGGAGTCCAACATTTTTGTCCCTAAGCGAGACGTTTGTGACGCGGGTTTTACGACCTTCCTTGCCACAAGTTGTTAAATCGTTAAGTGAATCTCTGCAGTTCTTAAGTTAGTATAACGGTTGTTAAGTGAATCTGACTTCCCCCACTGCTTGTAACAAGGTCGCCAGAGGGGAGTCACGGGACCCCGGAACCCTGCAAATCGTCATAAATATGAGTCGGTTGCCAAGCGTCTGAATTTTGATCACGTGACCACGGGGGAGGCTGCAAGAGTGGTAAAGTGTGAACAACGGTCCTAAGACACTTTTTTTACTGCTGTCGTAACTCTGAAAGGTCACTAAATGAACTTTTGAAAGTCGAGGAGTGCCTATATATATATAGCTCTGTTAAATAAAATGAATATAAAAGCAGCACACCAGTCACCAGGTGACCTAGATTGTCTAGGCAGGGTGGGATAAATCTTCCTCTTATTAGGGGATGTCAAGGTGGACATTGAGGGGTCCTGGGTGCTCTCTGGGCTTGCTTGTTTTCTTGCAGACGTTTCATTACCCAGCTAGGTAACATAATCAGTGCTAGAAGGGAGTGGAATTGAGGGAGGGAGGAGGAAGGAAGGATTATGGAGTCCTTGGTGCTCTCTGAGCTTGCTGGTTTTCTTGCAGACATTTCATTACCCAGCTAGGTAACATCATCAGTGCTAGTAAAGAGTGCAGTCTGCTGTCAGTTTATATCCTTGCCTGTCTGTGTGGTTTGCAAAATGCTTGCAAACGTTCAGGTAAAATATAAATGCATTTGGTGCCTCTCTTCCGAATCCCTTCTCACATTTTCTTTTCATTCATTTTAGAAAATCTCTCCAGTATTTCCTTTAAATTGCTGCCTTCCCCAATTTGGCCATCACGCTTAAATTAAAGCCGTCGTTTTGAGTCAGAAACTGAGCAGATGCTTAGCTAGCGGTTAATCTCAGCTGTTTAACCAGATGGCTGTGCGTTTGGATTTTAACAAGATAGCAGAGCTGGAAGGGACCTTGGAGGTCTTCTAGTCCAGCCTCCCCCCCCCCCCGACTCAAGCAGGAGACCCTGTACCATTTCACACAAATGACTGTCCAACATCTTCTTAAAAACCTCCAGTGTTGGAGCACCCACAACTTCTGAAGGCAAACCGTTCCACCGATTAATTATTTTCACTGTCAGGAAGTTTCTCCTTAGTTCCAGGTTGCTTCTCTCCTTGATTCGTTTCCATCCGTTGCTTCTTGTCCTGCCTTCAGGCGCTTTGGAGAATAGCTTGACTCCCTCTTCTTTGGGGCAGCCCCTGAGAGATTGGAAGACTGCTATCATGTGGGAGATAACAGAATAACAGAGTTGGAAGGGACCTTGGAGGTCATCTAGTCCAACCCCTGCTCAGGCAGAAAACCCTATATTATTTCAGACAAACGGCTGTCCAGGCTCTTCTTAAAAACTTCCAGTGTTGGAGCATTCACCGCTTCTGGAGGCAGGTTGTTCCACTGGTTAATTGTTCTCACTGTCAGGAAGTTTCTCCTTAGTTCTAGGTTGCTTCTCTCCTTGATTGGTTTCCATCCGTTGCTTCTTGTCCTGCCTTCAGGTGTTTTGGAGAAGAGCTTGACTCCCTCTTCTTTGGGGCAGCCCCTGAGATATTGAAAGACTGCTGTCATGTCACCCCTAGCCTGTCTTTTTCGCTAGATTAGACATACACAATTCCCGCAACCGTTCTTTGTCTATTTTGGCCTCCAGCTCCCTAATCATCTTTGTCGCTGTTTCCTGCACACTTTCCAGAGTCTCAACATGTTTGTGTGTGTGTGTGTGTGTGTTGAGAGGGGGGAGTATCTGGCTTGCTTCCAGCAAATGCAATAATTTGTACTCCCAATGCTCTTGTTTTCTCCTGCCCGGGGTCAGTCATCCCTTGATAAATCTCTTCCAGAGAATATGGATTTTCAAGAGGCGTTTAAGGAAATGGACTGAAGCGCAGCACTAAATCAGCCTTCAGCCACGGGAGGCAGGCAGACCAGTCGCCCCAGAACTGACCGGCGGCCTCGGGGAAGTGACCGTCTGCTGGCGCCTGACCTCCTTTAACCCCGTCGGTGGGCATCGATCCCAAACAGGATCTAAAGCTGTCCTTTCAATTACCGTCAAGAGGCGTCACCCATAGTTAGCCACGTGCAAATTTCTCCCCCCCCCCCCCCCAGAAAAGACCAGGGTGATAAATCAACCTTTTTGAAGCCACAGGGTTTTTTGCTCAGCCAGCTTAGACACGGTTCCCGAGAAATCTATAACCTGATTCAGAAGAAGCCCCCCCTGGAGGAGTAGGAGGGGGCGGGTTAGATCTAGTTTCTGACCACAATCTTGCCTGTCCTTCTGAACTCATGGAATCTGCAAGCAATGCTCTCGGGATGGTCGGAAAAGAAGGAAACTCTTCACCGATATTTTTTAACTATTTGTCGCGTCCCGCCTCTCCTTTCTAGCCTCCCCGCCCAATTTATTCAGAAAGCTGAATCACCCCGAACAAGAAGCAGCAGCAGTGAAACTGGATGCACGCATAATTTGAGTTCTTCCGGCGAAAAACCAGCTTTGGGAAGGGCACAAGCCTTCCAGACTGCCACCCACTAAATTGCCCCAGTAGATCAATCTTGGTTGAAAAAGCTCGCAGATCTTCCCTGGAAGATAGCTGCTGCCCAGGGATCCCCCCCAGGATTTCCCCAAACAAGTCCTGCTCCTGAAAATCGGATCGTTTGTCCGCAGAGAAGACCCACCTCATCCCATGCGGGAAAAAGAAAGCTAACAAACTTTCAGCTTAAATGTTTAGAGGTGCCCAACCCTGTTAGCTTTTCATGGGAAGTACAGAGAGCTGACTTACGTTTAATTCGACTGATCTTTCATTGAATCATCTTTCAAAGTTGCAGTGGCACTGAAGCCACGTAGGACCGTTTTTCACACTTGCCACCCACAGCATTCAAAAGACAGACGCTCGGCAACCGGTTCATATTTACGACGGTCGCAGTGTCCCTGAGGTCACGCGATTCCCCCCTTTTGCAGCCAGCCAAGTCAACGGCAAAGGCAGATTCGCTCGCCAACCCGGTGTGAGTTAACTTCACAACGACAGGGACTGGCTTAAGCACGGCGGCAAGGTCGTAAAACGGCGCCAAACTCATTTTGCAACGGTCCCGTTTAGCCAACAGACACGTTGGGCTCAATGGTTGGCTGTAAAACAAGGGCTGCCTGTTCTCTACACCAGGGGTCCTCAACTTTGGCAACTTGTGGACTTCAACTCCCAGAATTCCTCAGCCCTGATCTACATCCTTCCTCGCGCCCGCCGTCTTTTCCACTTACTTGGTTTTGTCCGTGGGGTCCTGCTCTTCCATCTCATCCGCGCTACACGTAGCGCTCGAATCACTGTCCGAGGCAGCGCTTCCGCTTTTGCTGACTTTCGGGCACTCCTTTTTCTCTGGCTTGGGAGTATCCTCTGTCTCGGCCCCCACCCCGTTACTGGTCTCGCATCTCTGCTCATCGGCCTTGTTCTCTTCCGGGACATCTGCCCCTTCCTCCATTTTTATCTCAGCCCCATCCAATTCTGGGTCTTTCGAGTTTTCTTCTCCCCCTTCCGTTTTGATCGTATCGACGTTCGGTTCCTCCTGCGGCTTTTCGCTCCCAGCTGGACCAGGGTCGGTCCCTTCCGGGCTGTGACCACCGGAGTCTACGGCGTTGGCTTCCGGGGACATGGCGGGTTTCTGTACGTTGACCGTCGTTTCTACTTCGGCCTCGGCATTCGGTTTGGACTCGCTTTCCGGGGGCTTTTTGGCGTCCAGTCTCGGAGAAGGCAGGCTGTCTGTGTCAGAGCTGTTATTCACAGCAACTGGAATCAAAACAGAAAAGACACACTGTTCATTTCGATGGCCAGGTTCCATTTGCAACGCACAAACACTCGGGGTCCCCAAGGAGCCCTAAAAAAAAAAAAAAATTTCATGGCCGCGAGCGGGTGAGTTGCAATGCATTATTTAACTCTGAGGAGTTGCAGGCTACAACTGTGGATTTTGAAGAGAAGCTTCTCATATATTTTTGCAAACAGAGTAAGAGGAGTTTACTTCCCCAATTTGGTGCCAAAGAGTCACTTTGGAAAGGGCCAGAACAAAACGCGGTTTAGATTTGCTTTAAACTACCATTATGGGCTTGTCTTTGCCATCCTTTCCTTTTTTGAGGCCCGTCTGTTATTTTGACACTACAGTAGTCCTCAACTTACCGTCACAATTAAGCAATCTTTCTATTGCTAATTGAGACACGTCTTAAGTGATTTTTGTCCCGTTTTATGACCTTTCTTACCACAGTGGTTAAGTGGATCGCTGCAATTGTTAAAACTATAATGCAGTTGTGAAGTGAATTTGGCTTGCCCCATTGACTTTGCTTGTCAGACGGTCACAAAAGGGGATCACATCACCCCGGGGCATGGCATAACCGTCATAAATGTGAGTTGTAGAACATCTGGATTTTGATCACTGGGACCCACGGGGAAAATGCTGCAACGGCCGTGTGAAAAACGGTCGTAACTCACTTTTTCCAGTGCAGCTGTAACTTGAATGCTCACCAAATGAACAGTTGTAAGCCGAGGACTTAGGAGGGGAGCTTTAAGCTGCAAATATATTTTTCAGTTGTTTGTAAGGTTACCATCATTTGCGGGGGGGGGGGAGTGTCTTAATTTTGGCTATTCTTCTTGATCTGAGAACAGCTTTTCCTGAAAGCCTTGCAGAACCATTAAAATATGCACACACACAAAAGAGAAATCACTAAAAGCGACACTACAGCATTAACCTTGTGAACTCTCAAGCTTCCTCCTTCCGTTATATATTCAAGATGGACAGTATTTAATATTTATTTGTTATGTATATGTTTGTGGATTAATGTTACCTTGGTGTTCAAACTTATTTGTTTCTATCTTATGGCTTTACGCAGGATTCATATTTTTAATATAATTAAAGATATGTATGTTGTTGTTGTTGTTAATTGCGAAGTCGTGTCCGACCCATCGCGACCCCATGGACAACGTTCCTCCAGGCCTTCCTGTCCTCCACCATCTTCTGGAGTCCATTTAAGTTCACACCTACTGCTTCAGTGACTCCATCCAGCCATCTCATTCTCTGTCGTCCCCTTCTTCTATTGCCCTCAATCTTTCCCAGCATTAGTCCCTTCTCCAGTGAGTCCTTCCTTCTCATTAGGTGGCCAAAGTATTTGAGTTTCAACTTCAGGATCTGGCCTTCTAAAGAGCAGTCGGGGTTGATCTCTTCTAGGACTGACCGGTTTGAACGCCTTGCAGTCCAAGGGACTCGCAGGAGTCTTCTCCAGCACCATAGTTCAAAGGCCTCAATTCTTTGGCGCTCAGCCTTTCTTACGGTCCAACTTTCACAGCCATACATTGCAACTGGGAAAACCATGGCCTGGACTATACGCACTTTTGTTGGTAGGGTGATGTCTCTGCTTTTTAGAATGCTGTCTAGATTTGCCATAGCTTTCCTCCCAGGAGCAAGCGTCTTTTAATTTCTTGGCTGCAGTCCCCATCTGAGGTGATCTTGGAGCCCAGAAAAATAAAATCTGTCACTACCTCCATTTCTTCCTCATCTATTTGCCAGGAATTGAGAGGGCTGGATGCCATGATTTTGGTTTGTATATGTATATGTATTGAACTATGGTGCTGGAGAAGACTCCTACGAGTCCCCTGGACTGCAAGGCGATCCAACCGGTTAGTCCTGGAGGAGATCAACCCCGACTGCTCTTTAGAAGGCCAGATCCTGAAGTTGAAACTCAAGTACTTTGGCCACCTAATGAGAAGGAAGGACTCACTGGAGAAGATCCTGATGCTGGGAAAGATGGAGGGCAAGAGAAGAATGGGACGACGGAGAATGAGGTGGCCGGATGGAGTCCCTGAAGCAGGAGGCGTGAGCTTCAAGGGACTCCAGAAGATGGAGGAGGACAGGAAGGCCTGGAGGAACGTTGTCCATGGGGTCGCGATGGGTTGCACACGACTTCGCAACTAACAACAACATGTATATGTAGGGGTGTGGTTCTATACATATGTTGTACATAGTATGTTTAGGTGTGTGTCATGTATGTGTTTTACTTTGAGAGCGGGCAACTAAATTTCATTTTTGATGTGTGCCCTTGTGCCCACAGTAAAAAAATGGCAGTAAAGATTATCTTATCTTATCTTATCTTATCTTAAGGTGGACAGGTTCCAACCCACAGACATCAAAACCCATCCTCAGGTGTGAAATCACAATGGTGTAGTCTTAGCCACGTGCCTTTTCACAGACCTCAAGTTCCTTTTCACAGACCTCAACGGGTGGGGAATTCACACACACACAAGAGACACACCTTCCCAGGATAATGAAAAGACCTGCCCCAGTTTGGAGAAAGGTGGGGGGGGTTAGGGAGGTGTGTGTGTGTGTGGGTGGGAGGGTGTCTTCTGATCTTTTCGTGATTAACTTGATCTCCCCGACTTCCTGGAGTGGATTTTCAGGCTGCTGCTATTAATCTCCTACCATCCTTGACCTGCATTTCACTTCACTGAGATTGCAGCTGTAAAAAAAAAAAAACCACCCAGCGACATAAAAACCTAATTGGAAGGCTGCAGGACTAGCCGATGGGAGGCCCTTATTTCTTCTTCTTCTTTTTTAATTGGTAAGGACAGACAGAGTTAATGTTGGTTTTCCTTTTTGCTGCATTGAAGTGGCCTTGATCTGGAGTCCGTCCACCCGGATGCTTCAGAACAGGCGGAATTCAATTTAAAGGCAGGGAAAGAGATTTTCTGAAGCCCTTTATGGAACTCATAGCAAATGCAATTTCCAAGTTCCTCTTCTCAATTGTCTGGCTCTTTGATGTTACAAATAGCCTTTGACGCACAATCATTCATCTGAAGTGCGCTGAAAAAAGTGACTTGCAATGAATGTTATGGAGGTGGTTGTCCCCAAATATGTTCATTTTCACCCCCCCCCCCCAAAAAAAGCAACTGGACTTTCTGGGTGTTTTCTCTGAAAACGTTTCGCTTCTCTTCCAAGAAGTTTCTTCTGAAGAAGCTTCTTGGATGAGAAGCGAAACTTTTCAAAGAAAACACCCAGAAAGTCCAGTTGCTTTTTGGAAAAAAACATATTTGGGACTTGTAAGATAGAAGCAAATCTATGGTAAATCTAGACAGCATACTAAAAAGCAGAGACATCACCCTGCCAACAAAAGTGCATATAGTCAAGGCCATGGTTTTCCCAGTTGCAATGTATGGCTGTGAAAGTTGGACCCTAAGAAAGGCTGAGCGCCAAAGAATGGAGGCCTTTGAATTCTGGTGCTGGAGAAGACTCCTGCGAGTCCCCTGGACTGCAAGGCAATCCAACCGGTCAGTCCTGGAGGAGATCAACCCTGACTGCTCTTTAGAAGGCCAGATCCTGAAGTTGAAACTCAAGTACTTTGGCCACCTAATGAGAAGGAAGGACTCACTGGAGAAGGGCCTGATGCTGGGAAAGATGGAGGGCAAGAGAAGAAGGGGACGATGGAGAATGAGGTGGCTGGATGGAGTCACTAAAGCAGTAGGCATGAGCTTAAATGGACTCCAGAAGATGGTAGAGGACAGGAAGACCTGGAGGAACATTGTCCATGGGGCCACGATGGGTTGGACACAACTTCACAACTAACAACAAGAACAGCTAACAACAACAGAGGTGGAACACTTGTTAAGGACTAGCTCTACTTGTGTCCACTTTGAACTCAGGGTGGTAGTAAAATCTGTGCACCACGCTCAACATGAACAAGAGTCAAGATTTGCTACTAGGGTACTAGAATATGAGGCACGAGAAGAAACAATGGATGGAAACTGACCAAAGAGAGAAGCAACCTGGAATTAAGGAGAAACTTCCTAACAGTGAGGACAATTAACCAGTGGAACAGCTTGCCACCAGAAACAGAGGTCTATGGAGATTCTCAATCATCCAGGTCATGGTTGTCCCAAAGATGCTTTTTCACGAGGCAACTGGGCTTTCTCGTTTTTCTTTGAAGACGTTTCGCTTCTCATCCAAGAAGCTTCTTCAGCTCTGACTATGACGGTCCTTCCATTCCCCACCATCCAGTCAGAGCTGAAGAAGCTTCTTGGATGAGAAGCGAAACGTCTTCAAATAGAAACTAGAAAGTCCAGTTGCCTCGTGAAAAAGCGTCTTTGGGATTCATCACTGGAGGTTTTTAGGAAAACACTGGACAGCCACCTGTCTGAAATGGCGTAGGGTCTCCTGCTTGAGCAGGGGGTTGGACTAGAAGACCTCCAAGGTCCCTTCCAGCTCTGTTCTGATTGAGTTGCCTTTTTTGGGAGGGTCATCAACAACTGGACTCACTTGCAACATTTCAGAGAGGTGACAGCTCCACTGTCTTATGAAGTCAAATTTGAAGGGGACTTCATCCTAGATTTTGGGGAGGGGAGAAGATTCTTGATGAGGAATTCCTGCCGGCTCAAGTGGCATACCTGTGCAAATTCTTCACAATCAGCACACGGAATTCGATACGCAGGTTCAGAACGACACAGCTTCATCATCACAAAAAAACAAACAAACGCGCCCGGTTGCATCATGAGAACATCTCAGATTCATTGCACAACCCTCTCCACACATGTGTGAAAGCAACGTTCCTCCAGGTAAGGAGCCTTCCCCAAATTTAATTAAAACCGCCTCGATCGTTCGGCGCGCGGAATGTGTCTCGGCTTGGAGTTGGCGCAACCTGGAATTCCTGGCCCCGCGGAAGGAAAGTTTAGATCGTCTATCTTTCTACAGCCTTTTTTGGCTCCGTCCAAAAGGTTTTCAAATGCTGGCGCAGCTCAGGGAGCGGAGTTCCATGCTCCACCCCAGCTCTGGGATCGCCTCCAAGGAAGGCACCACAAGGATGCAGAGAATGTGTGTGCAGGCTTCAAAATGGAGGTTTGCCACCACCGTCGATACAACCGGAGGCACAACAGAGGAGGAAGCCACGAGCCCTGGGGTTGGGAGTGGTAGTAAGGGGGTGGGGAGAGGAGGAAATGAAATTGTTTCCTGAAATTTGTTGGGAAAGGTTCAGGTGCTGAAGGATGGCCCAGAAGAACGAGGCATGGGCAGGTTTCTTGGAAGGTGGTTGACAATAAGCCAGTGGAGGAGAGAGAGAGAGAAATCTCTATAAAGGTTAGGGAAGAATTCTCCTGAAAATTGGATTTTGGAAAAGACAGAAGGACTGGGAGGCTTACATTGGACCAGTGTGTTTGTCAAACATGGCTACTGGAAGATAGGAGAACTTCAAGTCCCAGAATCCCCCAACCAATTCTGGGACTTGAAATCCATTCACATTGAAGGGAACTGAAGTTCGCTCATTCCGACTGTGGAATTCTGGGAGCTGAAGTCCACCTATATTGAAGGGAATTGAAGTCCACCCATGTTGATGCAACTGGAAGGGATGATTGGGGAATTCTGGGAGGCGGAGTCCACCCAAGTTGAAGGGCACTGAAGTCCACCCATGCTGGCTGGGGAATTCTGGGAGGTGAAGTCATTCATGATGACTGTGGAATTCTGGGAGGTGAAGTCTACCCATGTTGAAGGGAAGTTGAAGCCAGCCATATTGGCTGGGGAATTCTGGGAGTTGAAGTCCACTTCTATTGAAGGAAATCTACCCGTGTGGAAGGGATGACTGGGGAATTCTGGGAGGTGAACTCCACCCACGTTGAAGGGAGTTGAAGCCACCCATGCTGGCTGGAGAATTCTGGGAGTTGAAATCATCCATGTTGACTGGGGAATTTGAGAAACACTGGTTGGATCAATTCAACAGGGAAGGGTGTCCACCCAGTCTGGAAGCTCTCTCTCTCTCTCTGTGTCCATTTCCAACCAAATTCCAAGCATCGCTGATGTCTTTTTCCTTGCCAAGTCTCCAAAAGGCAGTTTCCCCTCTTCCCTTTTGCAAAACAAACTAAGAAGGAATCGTGGAGAGCTTTGGCTAATGTTCTCCTAGAGAACGAGTGAGAAAAAAACACGCTGCTCTCCTCATTTTAGTTGGGAAAGCAAACAGAATCTTGGCTTTGCTCCAATATTATATTATTATTATTATATTATTATTATTGTTGTTGTTGCTGTTGTTATTATGGATCATCGCACAGTCAGCCAGATGTTGAGACTGGATTTGGCATTTTGTCTACCTATCGAGTCCTTACCCAGGACCTGGGATAGGCAGATGTGGATGTTTGATGGTATTACAGATATCGTCGCAGGATGGAAGCAGTTCCTAATAAGGCCGCCTTTTGCAATTGACTAATAGCGAATTTGTCAATGCCAATGGTGTTCAAGTGGGGCTCCAGTTGTTTTGGGATTGCACCCAAGGAGCCTATTACTATTGGTACTACCCTTGCTTGCTTTTGCCACAGTCTTTCTATTTCTATTTGTAGGTCTTTCTATTTCTATTTGTATTTCTATTTTGTTATCTTCTCCAGTTCTTTCTCGTCTATTCTGCTGTCTCCAGGCACTGCCACGTCCACTATCCAGACTTTTTTGTTATTATTTTTTTATTATTATTACTATTATTGTTGTTGTTGTTGCAATTTGCAATCTGCGGACAGTCTGGGAGGGGCTGAGTGGGTCCCTGGGAAAAGCCTTTGTTGTTTGGCATCCATTGCCAGGAACTGAACGAGGCTCAATGCAAAGCCATGCCTGTTTGCAAAGTGTGGGTCTTTGGAAGACCCACACACTTTTAGATCCCAAAAGATGAGCCAGGGGGCTGGGCGACTCTCCTGCTCTCGTGACCCGTCAGCCACTGAGACCCCCCCTTCAATTCACCCAGTGCCTGTCCCCCAATGATTCCCTTCAAAGCAACTCATGCTTTGAACTTGCAAAGCACATCACACGTGTGTGTACAGAGTGTCCTCCGAACCAGCTGTTGCATCCCCCTCTAGAGCTCTCACCCCCCCAACGCCTCTGATTCATGCCTGCGTCTATGACACAGACTATTTACCTGAAAACTGCTTGGTAATGCGTTCTCTTTTAAGCACTGCCTGGAAAAGATTATCAACGGTTTCTAGGTCAACGCTGGGAGTGTGTGTGTGTGTGTGTGTGTGTGTAAGGGGGGGAGCTGTTAAATTATTCCTTCACTCCCCACCCCCAAAGTTAAATGGGGAGATTGCAATACAGGCAGTCCTCAATTTATGGCAACTGAGCCCCAGAATTTCTGTAACTAAGCCAGACAGTAAAGTCCATTTTGCTCCGTTTTACGACCTTTCCTGCCACCGCTGCTGAGTGGATCCCTGCAGTTGTTAAGTTAGCAATGTCAGTTGTTCAACGAATCTGACCTTCCCCATGGACTTAAGCTTGTCAGAAGGTCACAAAAGGGGGATCACGTGACCCCTGGACACTGTGACCGTCATAAATACGAGCCACTTGCCAAGGCTCCAAATTTTGATCACGGGGGATGCGGGCACTGGTCATAACTGTGAAAAACAGTTGTTAAGTCCATTTTTCCCAGTACTGTTGTAACTTCAAACTGTCACTAAGCGAACCGTTTTAAGCCGAGAACGACCTATAAATAACTAGCATCTTCTGCAAGAGGCTGGATCAGTTCCAAGGAAAAAGAGGGATAATTGTCCATTTCCATTTTATGTTCCTGTAACCCAGGGGTATGCAAACTTGGCCTTTTATGACTCGTGGACTTCAACTCCCAGAATTCCTGAAGCAGCACAGGGGAACTATGGCCCCCTCATGACTCGTGGACTTCAACTCCCAGAATTCCTGAGTCAGCCTGGCTCAGCTTGGAAACCTCTCCCTTTCCCCTCAGCATGGCTGGCTCAGGAATTCTGGGAGTTGAAGTCCACCAGTCATAAAAGAGCCAAGATGGCCTACCCCTGCTGTAACCCAATCCTCAGTCCGTGGACCGTTACCATGCCACGGCATGCCAGCAACCGGTCCGCACAAACAAGTGAAGTCCTATCCACACAAAACAGTACACAAAACCACGCACCCTCTGGTCCGTGGAAAAATCTCTCTCCACAGAACCGGTCCCTGGTTCCCAAAAGGTTGGGGACCTCTGGTGTGACCCCATCTCTGAGGCCCATCAGCCAAACAATCATCTTGCCTAGAACCAAGATTTTATCCCACATTGACACAGACCAGTGGCTGCTAAAGATGAAAAACAGAAGTCCTGTTAAGAAATAATCAGGAACTTTTTAATCTCTAGCTGCTTCTCCAAAAAATCTGATAGTGTTTATCAGCCTCTTACGACAGTTGCTTTTTAACCAAGGTCACCACAAACTATTCACCACAAACTATTCACCAGAAAGTCGGTGGAGAGAGAATATGACTTGGGTGCACATCTAAGGATGAAGGCCAGCCTTAGGGCAGGGGTCTTCAAACCTGGCCCTTTTATGACTTGTGGACTTCAACTCCCAGAATTCCTGAGCCAGCATCGCGGGCTCAGGAATTCTGAGAGTTGAAGTCCACAAGTCATAAAAGGGCCAAGTTTGAAGACCCCTGCCTTAGGGGCAAACTAGCTGAGAAAACAGAAATATTAAGGAGTGCATCAGTGTCTATGGCAGTGTTTCTCAACCTTGACCATTTTAAGGCGTGTGGACTTCAACTCCCAGAATTCCACAGCCAGCATTGCTGGCTGTGGAATTCTGGGAGTTGGTCCACACGCCTTAAAATGGTCAAGGTTGAGAAACACTGGTCTATGGAGATTCGCAGTCACCCAGCTCATGGTGGTTCCAGAGGTGCTTTTTCACGAGGCAATTGGACCTTCTTATTTTATTTAGAAGACGTTTCTCATCTCATCTTCCCACAGAGCTGAAAAAGCTTCTTGGAGGAGAAGCGAAATGTCTTCCAAGAAAAACAAGAAAGTCCAGATGCCTCGTGAAAAAGCATCTTTGTTTCTCAATCTTGGTGACTTTTAAGATGGGTGGACTTCAACTCCCAGAATTCCCCAGGCCGGCCATGATGGGCTGAGGGATTCTGAGAGTTGACGTCCACCCGTCTTAAAAGTTTGCCAAAGGTGCTTTTTCAAAAGCCAACTGGACTTCCCTTTGTTTCTGAAGACGTTTCGCTTCTCGCCCGAGAAGCTTCGTCAGCTCTGACTGGACAATCCCCTCAGAAATAGTGGGAGGTCTATGGAGATTCTCAGTCATCCAGGTCATGGTTGTCCCAAAGATGCTTTTTCATGAGCAACTGGACTTTCTAGTTTTTCTCTGAAGACGTTTCGCTTCTCATCCAAGAAGCTTCTTCAGCTCTGACTACGATGGTCCTTCCATTCCCCACCATCCAGTCAGATGGGATGAGAAGCGAAGCATCTTCAAAGAAACACGAGAAAGCTCAGTTGCCTCGTGAAAAAGCATCTTTGGGATTCATCACTGGAGGTTTTTAAGAAAAGACTGGACGGCCACCTGTCTGAAATGGCGTAGGGTCTCCTGCTTGAGCAGGGGGCTGGACTAGAAGACCTAAAAGGTCCCTTCCCGCTCTATTTTGGTTGAGTTCCCTTTTTTGGGGAGGGTCATCAACAACCGGGCTCGCTTGCAACATTTTGGACAGGTGACAGCTCCATCTGACGTCATCCAGAACCGAAGAAGCTTCTTGGATGAGAAATGAAAATTGTTCAAGGAAAACCAAAGTCCAGTTTCCTTTCGGAAAAGCGCCTTGGGGATGACTTGGGATGACCGAGAATCTCCATAGACATTAAATTTGCCAAGTTTGGAGACCCCTGGCCGAAGCAAAACCGGACCAAGAGATGCCGTTGCATCCTGGAGAACCATCTCACCTTCTGGCTCGACCTCCTCGGCCATCTCCTCCTCGTTGCCGCTGGTGCCCGACCCATCCTGGCCCATCTCCTCGTCCTCCGTCACCGGGGGGAAAGCCCTTTCCTCGTTTTGGACCACAGGACCCTTTTTCTTCTTTCTCCGAGCGTTCCTTTCTTTCTCCTGAGCAAAGCCAAGCGGAAAAGGAGAGTTATGAATCTTGCTGGAACACCATCTTATCGTCAATCGCTGCATCGGCAACGACTAAACACACACATACACACACACACACACAATACCAGGAGGTTGAAATGGCTATTTTAAAAAAAAAAAAATAGCAGGGGCTGAAATGAGTGTGCATTGCTTCCCGGGATTTCAGATTGCATAAACTTTTGTACACAAGTGCAAAATAAAAAATAAAAAAAAATACAAGCCTACAGAATGAAGATAAGGTTGCAAGAATTGACCATTTTTGGAAGCATTTTAGCTACGTTGGGTTGGCCTCCACAATATCACAACCTTTTTTGCAGCATCTCCACTGCAGTGCAGAAGGAAGGAAAAGAGGTGCACAACCACGCACGCAGATGCACACACACATACACACAAATAAATGCACACCCGCTGTTACGATTTTGATCCACTGTATTAATAACATCCATGAACGTTTTTATACGGAGGATGCTTTGACATATTTATGCCGGCTTTACAAAGACCTAGAGTTCAGCGTTTGGCACATCTGCTCACTATAGTTCTGATTTCATCCTGGAAAGATGCAGGGAGACACAAGTTTGGCCTAGTGGTTAAAAGCACCGGGCTAAACACCAGGAAATGCTGTGCTTCTTGTCCTGGGCAAACAGACACACAAAATAAAAACTGGCCAGGTGACTATTTTAAACTTTTGTCTTCTTTTCACTTTCCTAACCTGGGTTTCTACTTATGTTTTTCTCTTGGAATAAAAAATGGAAAAAATAAAAAACACTGCCGAACAGATTTCATCAGTTACAGAGGAGAGCCTTGGCTGAGTTTGAACTCCTGCCAGAGACACCATTTGGATAAGTGCTCATTATCAGGAGAAGAAACACAGCCCGCCCGTCGCTGGGGTGCTTGATGATGTGAACACAAACGCGGCAACGCTCCCGTTACTATGGCAAAGCGGTCCTGGCGCTGCTGCTTCTTCCTGGCATCCCGGGTGACTCATGCGAACCGACGGGAGCAAGAAAAGGAACCTGCGCTGGACAACGGGGGAACCAGCTTTGGATGGCGTACGGCTTTCCCGCTGGTAGATGTTCTCCCCAAGAGCTTTCCGTTCAGAGCATGGGAGAGGGGGGACAAGGCAAAAGAGGGATTAAAGAAAAATAAACCGGAGATTAAAATACGGGAACAGCCACGTAGAAGGCAGGGTAGGGAATATTTTGCCAGGTTAACCACCCATCTCCAGAAGACGGCACGGGCCGGGGGACGCCAAGGAAATATTTGCAACATCTGGAAGACCACAGCAGGGCCCGTGCTTAGAATGGAATAGAATAACAGAGCTGGAAGGGACCTTGGAGGTCTTCTAGTCCAACCCCCTGCTCAGGCAGGAGACCCTATATCAGTGATGGCGAACCTTTTAGAGACCAAGTGCCCAAATTGCAACCCAAAACCCACTTATATATCGTTGGGTGCCTGGTGGGTGTGGCCCATTGGGTGGGCATGGCCCATTGGGTGGGCGTGGCCCATTGGGTGGGCATGGCTGCGGTGGTAACAGCAGACTGGGTGGGACTAAAAAGTTCAATCAATTCCAACTTTGCGAGATCTTTTTTTCCCCTGCAAGTTGAAATTGATTGATTGAACCTTTTTTTTTTTTTTTGCACACGGCGGCAGAGTCCTAAAGCGAAAAGGTTTTATAAAACCCAGCTGAAGGCCTAGGACTGGGGTGATGGCACACGTGCCCAAAGAGAGGGTTCTGCGTGCCACCTGTGGCACACGTGCCATAGGTTTGCCACCACGGCCCTATACCACTTCAGACAAGTGGCTGTCCAGTCTCTTCTTAAAATGAAGCACCTATAACTTCTGGAGGCAGGCTGTTCCACTGGTTAATTGTTCTCGCTGTTAGGAAGTTTCTCCTTAGTTCTAAGTTGCTTCTCTCCTTGATTAGATCTGAGATCAGTTAATCAGAGTAGAGCTGGAAGGGACCTTAGAGGTCTTCTAGTCCAGCCCCCCGCTCAAGCAGGAGAACCTATATATATCATTTCAGACAAATGACTGTCTAGCCCAAGGGTAGGCAACCTTGGCCCTTTGATGACTCGTGGACTTCAACTCCCAGAATTCCTGAGCCAGCCATGCTGAGGGGAAAGGAGAGGTTTCCAAGCTGAGCCATAGTAGGAATTCTGGGTGTTGAAGCCCACGAGTCATAAAAGAGCCAAGGTTGCCTACCCCTGGGCTAGTCTCTTCTTAAAAACCTCCAGAAGTTCGCAAAAGGGGGTCACCTGACCCCGGGATATTGCAACCGTCATAAATATGAGTCAGTTGCCACAGGTCTGAATTCTGATCATGGGGATGCTGCAAAGGTCGTAACTGTGAAAAACGGTCGTAAGTCCTTTTTTTCCCAGTACCCGTTGTAACTTCAGTCACTAAATGAATGGTTGTTAAGTCGAGGACTACCTGGAAACCTAACTAAAGGACAGCTGAAATGTAGTGAAAGGGTCGGTAGCACTTAGCCACGATCCACTAAATCTGGTTTGCTTGGCAAGACCCATCTGAGCACCGCAAATCCAAATTAAAGCTAAAAGGGTGTTGTTTTCCTTCCAGTCTCAGCGCACTGCTCAGCTTTTTAACTTCCCAAGCAACCTTTCCGATCAGTTTCGAGAGCCCCTCATCAAAATGATGTTTAATTCTTCCGTTCCACGGATCCCTGGCCCAGCCCTCCCGCCTGCTGTGTGCGCACAAAGTAGCAAATGTTTAGGAAAAAACGGGAGGTTAGATTAACCGCAAGCTTTTTGTTCTCCCCCCTCTATTCAGATTTATGACATCTGTTGTTGCCAGCAAACAATAGCGTAGTTTTTTTTTCTTTTTAAGAAAAAAAGGAAAGAAGAATGGCAACGCAAACCAGCTGAACACTCATTGTTCTTTTGCCAAAAGAGAAAAGAGAAACAGAGAAACTCCGCAAAAAACCGCCCGGTCTAAAGAAAATGATCAAGTCAGAGGAAGGACGTCAATCAAGACGATGCAGAGGGCAGAGAGAAGATCTGCAGGTAGTCCTCAACGTAGGACTCTAATCAAGCCTGCCCATTACGGATATAAATCATGATGGTCGTAAAACAAATCGGTTACATTAGGGGTCCCCAACCGCCGGTTTGTGGACCGGCATCGGTCCGCAGCATGCCAGCAAACGGGCCGCACACAAACAAGCAAAGCTTCATCCTCGGGATGCAGGCAGTATTCAAAACCACACCTCTTCCGGTCCACGGAAAAACCGTTCTCCTTGGCACCGGTCCCTGGTGTCCAAAAGTTTGGGGACCTCTGGGTCATGTGACATGGTCAAATGCACCATGAGTTTGGCGCCTCAAGTCCAGTTGGTTGACTCTTATCTGGTACTAATTCACCTTGACTGCTAATAACTCAGATTCTTGTGTATAGGTGTTGTTGTTAGTTGCAAAGTCGTGTCCGACCCATCGTGACCCCATGGACAACGTTCCTCCAGGCCTTCCTGTCCTCTACCATCTTCTGGAGTCCCTTTAAGCTCACGCCTCCTGCTTCAGCGACTCCATCCAGCCACCTCATTCTCTGTCGTCCCATTCTTCTCTTGTCCTCCATCTTTCCCAGCATCAGGCTCTTCTCCAGTGAGTCCTTCCTTCTCATTAGGTGGCCAAAGTCCTTGAGTTTCAACTTCAGGATCTGGCCTTCTAAAGAGCAGTCGGGGTTGATCTCCTCTAAGACTGACCGGTTTGATCGCCTTGCAGTCCAGGGGACTCGTAGGAGTCTTCTCCAGCACCAGAGTTCAAAGGCCTCCATTCTTTGGTGCTCAGCCTCTCTTATGGCCCAACTTTCACAGCCATACATTGCAACTGGGAAAACCATGGCCTCTTAACACAGATAGTCCTCGACTTAACAACCATTCATTTAGTGACCATTCAGAGTTACTGAAAAAAAGTGACGTACAATCGTTTTTCACACCACCACTGCAGCATCCCTTGGTCACAGGATCAAAGCTCAGATGCTCGGCAACTGGCATGTACTTTTGACAGTTGCAGCGTCCCGGGTTCACGTGATCCCCTTTTGCGATCTTCTGACAAGCAAAGGTCAATGGGGGGAGCCAAACCCACTTAACCGTGACCCTAAATTAACAGGTGCAGTGATTCACTTAACAACTGTTAGCAAGAAAGATTGTATAATGGAGCAAAACTCATTTAACAAATGTCTCATTTAGCGAGAGAACCTTTGGGCTCAACTGTGTGTCAGAGCGTGCAGTCTTATTGCGTGAGATAACCCAGGATTAAACACGGCAAACAGTGGTTTGCATTAAATGATGGTTTATCTTATGCTATCTACAATATCATACACCAGAAACAAAATACATACAGGTGCTAATACAGCAGGATCTGCGGAGCCTTCCCTTTTATACAAAGCTCTTAAATAGATACAGACCCAGCTGGCTCTTAAAGGGACACAGACCCTGCTGAGTCATCCCCATCATTACATCTCACATTCCATGAGCCAGTGGTGGTGAACCTATGGCACTCGGAGCCCTCTCTGTGGCCACACGTGCCCTTGCCCCAGCCTTGCCTCCCCCCGCGACCTCCTCCTCACCAGCAGCCCCCCTGGAGGAGAGTCGCCCCCGAGCATGGCCCACGCGGAGCAGCACAGCCAAGGACATGGCAGCCAGGCATGTAGACAAGACTCTGCCCTCACACCCCATCACGCACAGTTGATGCTGCGGGGCATGAGCAGAGGGCATGGCCAGGACGGTCGTAAAACGGGGCAAAACCCACTGAACAAATGTCTCACTTAGCCACAGAAATGTTGGGCTCAATTGTGGCCGTAAGTCGAGGACTGCCTGTAGAGTGAAACCTGGCTTCCCATGGTTGCTCATTTTTCCTCCTTCTTTCTCTGCAAATTCCAGGCTTATTGCTAAGTTTTTGGTTTTTTTTTTTAAAACAAATATTATTATCTCTCTCACTTACTCCCACTCTGCCTTGCCCTGTCTGATGCTCTCGATAAGATCAGGCCCAGGGGAGAAGCACAACAGCTGTGGTTGCTGCTGATCCTCTCTGTTGTGTAACTTTTTAGACAACAGATAGGTGCGAAAACACAGGGATACCTCTGGCAGTAACACACACTCACTGTACTTAAACCATACTACTCAACTCCACGGCCCGAGCTCGTTTTATTGGTGTAATTTGTTTGTTTGGGTTTAGGTTGCTTTTTCTTTTTCCCTTTTTCTTTCTGCAAAGATGCTTCCGGATACCAGCAGCACAGGTTGGAAAGGGGGGAAAAAAGTGGGAGAGAAGAAAAAGCACCCCAAAAAAAGAGTAGAAAAATGAGAGGAGTATGGGTTTTTTTATTATTATTATTTTATATATCAAACTCAGCTGAACCAAGCCATCGTATGGCTTAACATCCTCGCATGGTGGGTGGCTTAAGCCACCTTCTGCCCATCTATTCCAGCTTGACCCCTGGCTTTTTCCAAAATGCAACACTTTAGTGTTACAAGGGCACTGAAAAAAGGTGGCTTATGACCAGTGGTGGGATTCAACCAGTTTGCACCACTTCGGCAGAACCGGAAGCTAATTTTTGGTTGCCCGGGCCCAGAACGGACTTCCAGAAGCGGCATCCACACAGAGAACCGGGGTCCTTCACCTATTTGAATCCCACCGCTGCTTAGGACTAGTCCTTGCAGTTATGACCGTTGCACGTCTCCACGATCAAGGAATCCAAACTCAGGCCCTTGGCAACCGGCCTGTATGTATGACGGTTGCAGCGTCCCGGGGGTTCACGTGACCCCCCACTTGCAAGCTTCCCAGCTGGATTCCGACCAGCAAAATAAAAAAGGGAAGCCTGGTTTGCTTAACAATGACACAAAAAGATTGCAGAACCAGACGGCATTCATTTAACAACCGCCTTGCTTCGGGACGGACGTTCTTGCTCCCAATTTTAGTCGCAAGTCCGAGGACTACCTGTATTTTCCCCAGCGCCTTTGTTCCTTTCCAGGTGTTTTACTTTTCTTGAGCTTTTTCAAATCTTCCATGTTTGTTTGGTTTTTTTCCCTTCTGCCGTAATATCTAAGAGAACCTTCATCCTAAAACATCCAAGACCTTCAACAGCCTCTATTGCCTTGGGACCAAACGCCATTTTAATTCATCTTTTCTTACCAGTGGCCATTTTAAAGATTTGATTTACACGGCTTCCTTTATGCCAGTGGTTCTCAACCTTTTTAATGCCGTGACCCCCCAACCAGTCGTAAGTCGAGGACTACTCAACCGGTCGTAAGTCGAGGACTACTCAACTGGTGCAGCCCCGTTTGCAGAAGGGGACTTTTGGCGGGCTCAGCAGGGCAGAGACAGCCTGGACAATTCCTATTGGCTTTTGAAAGCCAATAGAATTAGACTCTATTCAAGAGAGTCTATTCTATTGGCTTTCAAAAGCCAATAGAATAAAAGGGAGTAGCACAGCTAAGGAAAAGGGAAAAAAAATGGCGGACCGCGTTGTTTGGCGACCCCTGTGAAATGGTCGTTCGACCCCAAATGGGGTCCCAACCCACAGGTTGAGAACCACTGCATTATGCTTTTGTGGAACGTGCTGGGCTGCAGCCCTTCCCTGGAAGGCGGGAAATAAATCTTTGGGATCCTAATGATGAAAAGGGGAAAGATTTGGCAGCAGAAAAGTGACCGAGTGGACTCAGCCAACGGGCATCTGAGGAGCTGGGTGCTTGGAAATACCCCTATCAAAATGGCCGAGGGTGCTTAAAAATAGCCACATCCATCATCACAAGCTCACTTTTCCATCTGGAGCTAAGAAGGAAAGCTTTCAAAACGACAACCAATTATCACCGGCGCTTTTACTACACACAACTCCACAAGTAAATGAGAAATATCCCAGAAATTCACCTGCTGCATGCACCCCAAGAATTTCTCTTGCGAAGCAAGGCAGTTGGGAGTGAGCCAGGCTCAATTTTATGACCTTTTGTCATGGCTAAGCAGTCCTTAAGTGAATCACACCGTCATTAAGCAAATCCAGCTTTCCCCATTTATCTGTTAGAAGCCAGCTGGGAAGGCCACAAATGGTGATTACGGGACCCCGGGACATTGTGACCATCCTAAATACGTGGTTGTGAAGTGTCTGAACTGTGATCACTTGACCATGGGGACGCTGTGACAGTCATAAGTGCAAGGACCGGTCTTAAGTGGAAGGACTGGTCATAAGTGAGGAGACTGGTCACAAATTACTTTTTTTTCAGTGCTGTCATAACTTCAAACAGCCACTAAATCCAAGACCACCTGTATGAATGTGTACATCATACGGTCTTCAAACTTGGCCCCTTCATGACTTGTGGACTTCAACTCCCAGAATTCCTCAGCCAGCATGGGGGGAACTATGGCCCCTTCATGACTTGTGGACTTCCACTCCCAGAATTCCTCAGCCAGCGTGCCTGGCTGAGGAATTCTGGGAGTTGAAGTCCACAAGTCATAAAAAGGCCAAGTTGGAAAGACCCCTGCTTTAGACCTTTTGTAAATTTCCTATCCATAGCATCACCTTAGTTCAGCTTAGCATGGCTTGATTGCCAACAAGCTAGCTGGGTGGTTGTTCAACCAGGCTGAAATCACACCGTTTCACTCTTGTCCAGGGGTCTCCATCCTTTATGACTTGTGGACCTCAACTCCCAGAATCCCTCAACCAGCTTGCCTGGCTGAGGAATTCTGGGAGTTGAGGTCCACAAGTCATAAAAGGGCCAAGTTTGAAGACCCCTGGTGTACATCTTCCATAATCTGCAACTGCCCACTTGGCAAATGTTTTTCTCTGGACTCAAAACATTTGGCCACGAGGGCGTTAGAGGTATACACGCCATCTTAGCCCTTACCCACCCACTCCCACAAGCCAGGCCGGAAAGTAAAACGCCCGCAGCCCCCCCAAGAACAAATTCAAATCACAAGGCTGGGCCAGTGTGACGGCAATGTGTGCGATGCTTACCATTTTCAGTTTGTGCTGCTGCAGAATCTCGTCCAAGTTCTGCCTTTTCTTGTAGTTGAAATAGAAGTTTTTGCACTGTGAGACGCTCTTGGACCCCACCATGCGGGCAATGGCTGACCAGTTGCGTCCATGTTCAAGGAGACCTGGGCAGGGCGGACAGGACAAGGCAGACAGGTTAAAAATACAGACACAACAGGCGGACTCCTCAACTTATGACTACACTTGAGCTCAACATTTTCGCTGCCTGAGCCACAAATTTGCCCCATTTTACGACTTGCGTGTCAGAAGGTCGCCAAAAGGGATTGCATGAGCCCGGGAGGCTGCGAACCGTCATAAATATGAACCAGTTGCCAAACTGGTTTGAATTTTGATCACGTGGCCACGGGGACGCTTACAACGGTTGTAACTATGAAAAATGATCCTAAGTGACTTTTTTCAGCGCTGTTGTAACTTCGGCCCCTAAAGGAACTGTTGTTAAGTATTTATTGATTTGACTGACGCTCTGCTTTTTGGCTCTTGTAGCTATCTTCACCCAGATCTACAGAATAGGTTGATCTCAGGTCTAGCCTTCTTTCAAAGAGCCACGCTGATTTCCATGGGCTTAATAACAAAGGATGGATCCGTTATTTTGTCTGATGCTGGGAAGACGCTCAGAGCAAATCTCCACTGAGATTTAGCAAAAAAAAAAAAAAAAAAAAAAAAAAAAAACACCCCAAGATTGTCAAAGCCATTCAGGTCATGAACAGGGACATTAAAAGCACCTCCATCAGGATAAGTTCCAGAATATGACATGATTATATATAAAATACGCTAGCCAACAAGGAAAGTAGCAAAAATTTGTACTTTCTCTCAGCAGACTTCGTTGATCGGTTTCCCCCTTGTAAAATCTCAAAACTGAGCCAAACCAACTTGCTCGGGGTTGTGTATATGTGGGTAAAATGCCTTTTTAACGAAAGCATGCTAACTCTGCCGAAGGAGAAATCCTGAGAGAAAGAGAGAGAGAGAGAGAGAAAGACAGAGAGGAGAGAGAGACAGACAGACAGATAGAGGAGGAGAGAGAAAGACACACACACAGAGAGAGACAGAGGAGAGAGAGAGAGAAAGACAGAGGAGAGAGAGACAGACAGACAGAGAGGGAGAGAGGAAGATAGAGAGAGATAAAGACAAGGAGAGAGAGAGAGAGAGAGAGAGAGAGAGAGAGGAGAGAGAGACAGACAGATAGAGGAGGAGAGAGAAAGACACACACAGAGAGAGAAAGACAGAGGAGAGAGAGAGAGAGACAGAGAGAGAAAGACAGAGAGAGAGAGAGAGAGAGAGACAGATAGACAGAGAGAGGAGAAAGACACACACAGAGAGAGAAAGACAGACAGAGAGAGAGAGAGACAGAGGAGAGAGAGAGAGAGAGAAAGACAGAGAGAGAATGACAAGGAGAGAGAGACAGAGAGAAAGACAAAGAGAGAGAAAGACAGAGAGGAGAGAGAGAAAGAGACAGACAGACAGAGAAGGAGAAAGAATCACACACAGAGAGAGAGAGAGAGAAGAGAGAGAGATAAAACAACGGTTAATCTTCTCCAGATGAAAAATAATAAAATAAAAGACGAGCACAAAAATAGAAGCAGGAACAGAGCCTGAGAACTTTCCCTGCGTTTTTTAGGATGGGATGAAAAGCGAATTGCTTCATCCGCTCGTCATTCGACTCTGGGGATAGGGAAGGTAATTCTTTGCGACAATGTTTGTCTTGGCACCTGTTGAGGACTTGAAACTTCTTGGGTTTTTTTTTTCCCTTTGCTCCAGCCCGCTGGGTTTGCCCCAACCTCAACATCGCTGTGAAACTTCTGAGAGTTTGCAAATACTCCTCGCAAACAACTCCTTGTAGCCTTCGTTTTCAAAAAAACAAACAAAAAAATCTGGGAAGTTGGCAACCTGGAATGGATTTCCAGGAGGCCTTTTGATTACTCCCCAAAACCCTAAACTTTGGGGGAAGTCACTTCTCTTTCCCCCCTTTGGCTTCCTCACTTGAGTAAAGTGGCCTGCTTCACAGGGCTGTTGTAAAGCTGTCGGTCTGGGACGAAACTGGATGGTAAGAAAGCAAGTGGCCGGCCCTGGGCCGTCTGTTCTACGGTCAGATCCAAAATTGTGTCTGGTCCTAATTTGTGTGTGTGTGTGTTTTTTTTCACCGCTGGGGTGTTTGGCTAAAGTTAAGCCTTACCTACAGGTTTACCTTCTAGGGTTGTTAGAAATCCTCAGAGGAGAAAAAAGTGGGGCGACTCTGAAAACCCCTGCAAAGTTTTTATAAACTCTCTTGAAAGATAAATAAAATCACGGGCAGAGTGCAAGCGAAAAATGCATCATTGTGCTCATCAAAAAGATGCAGGGGGGTAAGGGGGGGCCCTCTGGAGCCTTATAGAGCCTGCAGCCCAGGCTGGCATCACACCTGCCCAACCCTGTGCAGTCGTACCCGTGGGTAATGCGTCGCCCACATGCCCGCCCGCCCATTTTCCCTGCCAGCAGCCAGACACTCTGCACACACACACACAGCTGCCCTTATCTTTCCAGCACCTCCGATAAAAAAAAATACACCAGCACCTGCTTTCCAAAACTATAATTACATAAATACACACAGAGAAAGACACACAAACACACACACACAGAGAGAGAGAGAGAGAGAGAGAGAGAGAGATGCCTGGGGAAAGACATGTCAGCAGCAACCTTTGGCTCCTGCCAGGAAACACCCAGTGTGTCCCACCGCTGGGAAAAGTCCCCCCCCCACACACACAGTTAAGTTACACTCCCTACAAACTCCACGCCTGCCTGCCTGCCTGCCTGCCTCCCCTTCCCCGATGCTCCAAAAGCTCCTGCTAAATTTCAAACTTTTAGGAAGAAAAACTGGAGAACAGTTCCCCATCCCAGTCACATCTGGGCTTTGGGAGGTCCGGCGCGCAGAGGGCACGGTGTTTGGAGATCACCCCTTGGGACCTTTCCACCAGGAACCAGGCCAGCGGGACACTCCCTCCCTCCCTCTCTTCCACATCTTCCACACTCAAAACAGCTCAGATTTTCCACTTTATCCTCCACCCCCCCCCAACACAAGCCCCCACTTACATCCTGGTCCACATTCATCTGCTGGTTGCTTGACCGAAACCATACGCGGAGACAAGGAGACGGCAAGTGAATTCGCTGGAGTTTGGGGAAGGAGAGAGGAGACCCAACAAAGCAACCCCCCCAGCCCCCCAAGATTAAAAATCCAAGAAGGAAAAAAAGATGAGCAGGAGAAGAGGAAGAGCCAAGGGTGGTGGTTCACATGCTCTCCTCCACCTCCTTCTCCTTGCTGGCTCGGCTCTCACGTTCCTGCTTGCTTGCCGCGCGCGGGACTCTCTCCGGGCAGTCCCGGAGAAGAGGCATGTGCACCCAGCTGCCGCCGCAGCTCCGGGGAGGGTTTCCTGCAGCCGGTGCCAAGTCCAAACTGGGGGAGAGGTCAGCCGATCCCGGAAGGCTTCCTCCTCCTCCTCTTCCTCCTCCTCCCGGCCCTGACAGTACCAATCCTCTAACTTGCTCCGCTTCCTCTTCTTCCCTGCAGACTCCCACCTGCTCGGTCCCCGGGCGCTGCTGCTTCCCAGCCGTGGTGTCTTGGCGGTGGTGGTGGTGGTGGTGGTGGAGGAGGAGGAGGAGGAGGATCCACTTCCCTTCCCTCCCAGCCTCCGCAAACTCCCTTGCCAGCCTTCCTTCGCCTGCCTTTCCCAAGCGAGCGCGGCTCCCGGGTGCCAGGAGAGGCAGGAAGGGAGGAGAAGGAGGAGGGGGAGGAAGCAGTCCAGAGAGGCAGCTTTTGGGAGATGGTCCAGGTTGTGACCAAAACGTGCAGACGGGTACAGCCTCCTTTGGCGACGGGGAGAGCCGGGGAGAGGAGGAGGAGGAGGAGGAGGAGGAAGGGAGGGCTGGCTTGCAAGGGAGGAGGTAGACAGCACCGTGGGGAGCTAGCCCCCTCTGCTTCCCCGCCCTCCCGCCCTGCCCCTAGGTGACCCAGAAGTTTGCTCCGTCTGAATGTGACCTCTAGACAGCGTCCACAAGCTGCGTGGCATCGGCCCAAGATGACAAGGGTGCGGCCAACTTGGCCAGGCTTCCCCCCTTCTCTCTCTCTCTCTCTCTCTCTCTCTCTCTCCTCTGAATGTCAACAGCAGGGGGAAAAAGAAACTGGGAGAAAACAAAGCCTTTCTTAATCGCTTCCTTCTCTCTGATCTGAATCAAAGGGGTTGTTCTTGGAAGCCGCTCCCACGCAAACAGAGAACCCCCCCTCCTGCCATGCCCCCCCCTCGTTTCTCTCCCCCCCCCACACACACACACACCTCCTTCCCAGAGGGCGGATTTGGTCCCAAAACATTTTGGCTTGAAGGGCGGGCCAGATCCGGATTCTGGAAACGCAGGGGGGGTGGGGTTGGGCAGAAAGGGGAACCCCCTCCCTAGGAATGAGTGGGGTGACTTGAAGTCCCACCCAACGGCAGGAAATTGAGGGATGCATGCTTCTCCACCACCACCACCACCACCCCCCGAAGTGTAAGGAGCTGCGTCTTTGCTGCCCCCCCTAATGTAGAAAGTTCTGGAGTGGGCAGAAAGGGGGAATGAATCCACCAAGAGCCCCATTTATTGGGGAGACTCAAAGTCCCCCTAAAGGCAGGAAACTGAGAGATGCATGCTTCTCCCCCCCCCCTTGCAAGGACTTGCATCTTTCCTGCCCCCCAAATGTAGAAAGCTCTGGAGTGGGCAGGAAGGGGGATCCCCTCCCCAGGAATGAATCCACCAAAAGCCCCATTTATTGGGGAGACTCAAAGTCCCCCTAAAGGCAGGAAACTGAGAGATGCATGCTTCTCCCCCCTCCCATGCAAGGACTTGCATCTTTCCTGCCCCCCAAATGTAGAAAGCTCTGGAGTGGGCAGGAAGGGGGATCCCCTCCCCAGGAATGAATCCACCAAGAGCCCCATTTATTGGGGAGACTCAAAGTCCCCCTAAAGGCAGGAAACTGAGAGATGCATGCTTCTCCCCCCCCCCTTGCAAGGACTTGCATCTTTCCTGCCCCCCAAATGTAGAAAGCTCTGGAGTGGGCAGGAAGGGGGATCCCCTCCCCAGGAATGAATCCACCAAAAGCCCCATT